TGTTAAGGAAGAATGTGCTGTTTGACTGGGGCGAGGCACAACAGGAGAGCTTTGAGAAATTAAAGGCGGTTTTGACTCAAGCACCGGTGTTCAACCAGAGTCCGGGAATGATTTTACAGTGTATAGTGATGCTTCACATTCAGGACTTGGTTGTGTTTTAATGCAGGAAAGTAAGGTGGTGGCTTATGCATCCCGTCAGCTGCGGCCGCATGAGAGTAACTATCCTACTCATGATTTAGAGTTGGCAGCAGTAATTTTTGCCTTGAAGATTTGGAGACACTATCTTTATGGAGAGAAGTGTTACATTTTCACAGATCATAAGAGCTTAAAGTATCTTCTGACCCAGAAGGAAATTAATTTGAGACAACGCCGCTGGTTAGAGCTCCTAAAGGATTATGATTGCGTGATTGATTACCACCCTGGTAAAGCTAACATTGTAGCAGATGCTTTGAGTCGAAAGACGATATCAGAGTTGAGGTCTTTAATGGCCAAGATGAATTTATATGACGATGGCACTTTGTTAGCAGAATTGCAAGTTAAGCCGACCTTGGTTGATGAGATCAAAGCTAAGCAGCCCCTTGATAGCTCCTTGCTTTCCATCTTTGAGCAAGTAGAGCAAGGGACAAACACAGATTACGCAATTGATCAGGATGAAGTTTTATGCTTTAAAGGTAGATATTGTGTGCCTGATGATGCTGAATTGAGGCAGACTATCCTTACTGAGGCTCATAGCAGTCCATATGCTATGCACCCCGGAGGAGATAAGATGTACCGGAATTTGAGAGAGAGGTATTATTGGATTGGTATGAAGAAAGACATATCTGACTTTGTGGCTAGGTGTTTGACTTGTCAGCAAGTTAAGGCAGAACATCAACATCCATCAGGTTTGTTACAGCCTATCAAGATTCCTGAATGGAAATGGGAGGGTATTACTATGGATTTTGTTACTGGCTTGCCTATGACTCCTTCGAAAAAGGATTCAGTTTGGGTGATTGTTAACAGACTTACAAAGTCAGCTCACTTCATTCCTGTGCGAGTAAATTATACTTTGGATAAGCTGGCAAGATTGTATATTTCAGAGATTGTCAGATTGCATGGTGTTCCATTGTCTATTATTTCTGATCGAGATCCGAGATTTACTTCGAGATTTTGGAAGGCGTTACATACGGCTTTGGGAACAAGATTGGATTATAGTACATCCTTTCATCCACAAACTGATGGTCAATCTGAGAGAGTAATTCAGATTCTGGAGGATATGTTGCGGGGTTGCGTAATCGATTTTTATGGTAGTTGGGAGAACTTTTTGCCGTTGGCTGAATTTGCTTACAATAACAGTTATCAGACCAGTATTCGTATGGCACCCTATGAAGCGCTCTATGGGCGTAAATGTCGCACTCCGATCTGTTGGACTGAGTTGCGTGATAGGAAAACGTTGGGACCTGAGTTAGTGCGAGAGACGGAGGACACAGTCAGATTAATCCGTGATCGTCTGAAAGAGGCATTTGATAGGCAGAAATCTTATGCAGATCAAAGAAGGAAGGATATACAGTTTGAAGTGGGAGATCGGGTCTTTTTGAAAGTTTCACCCTGGAAGAAAGTATTAAGATTCGGGCGTAAGGGCAAATTGAGTCCAAGATTTATTGGACCATTTCGTATCTTGAAGAGGGTAAGACCTGTTGCATATCAGCTTGAGTTGCCTTCTGAGCTAAGTCGTATTCATGATGTCTTTCATGTATCAATGTTGAGGAGATACCGTCCAGATCCAGGTCACATTATTCAGGTAGAAGAAGTAGAGTTGAGACCTGATTTGTCATATGAAGAGGAGCCCATTCAGATCTTGGAGAGAGATGAACGAGTTCTTCGGAATAGACGAATTCCAATGGTCAAAGTTCAGTGGAGGAATCGAGGCCCCTCAGAAGCTACTTGGGAGACATTGGAGTCAATGGAGGCTCAGTTTCCTCAACTATTCTCATAAGGTAAATTTCGAGGACGAAATTTCTTGTAGAGGGGGAGAATTGTAACAACCCGATTTTCAAAATAATATTTAATTAAAATTTGAGGGTTTAATTGTGAAAATTTGGCGAAAATTTGGGGACTGAATTGAAAGATTTTAAAACTTGGAGCTTGTTTTAAAGTTAAAGAAAATTCAGGGACCAAGCCCTGAATTTAACCATGGAGTGTCGGCAGACAATGGTTATATGCGTGATTTCTGTTTTGAAAAACAGAAATCAATTTCACAAATCCTTACTCACGCACACAACTTCCAAACTCGATTCCGACGCCGTCCGAATTCCGATCGTTGTTTTGAAACCACCGTTGTGTTCATCATCGAGCGAGGAGCAAACCCTTCAAATTAATTGAAGCAAAACGCGGCCAAACGTCGGGAATTTCCAGTCAAAGTAGTGACGATTTTGTTAGCTCTATCGCCGGGAAAATCTTAAATTCACCGCTGATCGTTGCTCTGTTTACGACACCTCCCGCACCATCGTGTTCCTTGTGCCGTTCCGAGTTCACCGGTGTCAACCTTGTCCGCCGTAGACGGCGGCGCGTGAGTAGGTGGTGCAGTCAAAGATTCGGCCGATTTGAAATCGAGCTCTCCGCAGTTCAAAAATTTGAACCGATCGTTGTAAGTATCTCGAAATCGCTCAAAATAATTTTTAGAAATTTTTTCGGGATTTTTAGGGCCCCGGAGGACGCCTCACGCGCCACACGCGCCGCCGCAGGGCGAGTGGCTGCTGGAAACCGGTTTAACCGGTTTTCAACCGGTTCTGACCGGTTTGACCGGTTCGAACCGATTTGACCGGTCTAAACCGGTTTGACCGGTCTGAGCCGGTTTGACCGGTCTGACCCGACCCGACCGTTGACCCGACCCGACTGTTGACCCGACCCGACCGTTGACCGTTGACCGTTGACTTTCTTTGACCAAAACTTAAAATGGCTTTGACCGAGCATTAAACGACCGTTAATCCTTTCCGAGTATACTTATCCTGATAGTTTTCGACGTGCCGAATCCGTTTCCGTGGTCCGTTTTGTCAAATTCGAATCCGAAGGTCTCCAAATCTATGGTCAAAGTGGTTGACTTTGACTTTGACCAAGAATCTGAATTTCCGAAAAGTCATACTTTATATTTTTCGACGTCCTGATTCCGTTTCCGCAATCCGTTTAGCCAAATTCAGACTTGAAATACCCCAAATTGATAGTCAAACTCGAAAAATGCTTATATACTTAAGAAGACTAGCTTTGAACAATTAAATAGGATTTGAGACTGATAGATTATTATTGTTTGAAGGTACAAGAGACTCTCCGGATCGTTCGACAGCTCGACCCAGCTCTTCTAGATCAGTTAAACCACGTGTGCCAGTATTCACCCGTTCGAAAATTGTAGCAGAGCGTGGTGAAACCAGCAATCAGTAAATTTGCTATTTGAACTTATTGTCGAGGTGTGTTCCCTACTTATTATTGAACTGTTTTATTGGTTTTAATATGTGGTACACCGAATTCATTGGCTATTGTTTTATGGATGCACCAATTTAATGTGACAATTTATGGAATATAGCTGCTATCTAATTTTTGTTTTGAAATGGTATATGATTACCATGTTTTTGGATTTATGGAATTTATGTCACGGTGCAATTGAATTTTGGAATTGAAATACGATGGAATAGCTCTGATCAAGCTAACTGGGCCTAATGTGACTCTTGAGGGCCCCAAGATGTTTCATTAGGTCGGCTTTCCTTTGCTGTGTGCTTAGGGTAAGCTATATGGACTTATTGACTTGGGCTTAAGGATACAAGCTTCATAGCCTATCCTTAAGTCGGCTTTCTTTTTGCTATGTGCATAAAGTAAGCTATATGGAAAATACTTTTGGGAACTACTGATGGTGTACCAGAAAAGGGTTTAAACTATGATTTTCAAAAAGTTAAACTCTTTTACGAATTTGTGAGATTACTGGACTATGATTTGTACCTATTGTGATTTTATGGAAATGTTGGGACACACTGAGCCTAGCTCACCTTTTGAAAATGTTTTCCCCTTTCAGATACTGTTGGTTAGATACCTTGGTTCGAGCACTTGGAGGATCAACATATCTCTTGAAGTAAATCAAATTGTAATGTTTTTATCTGGCAAGTTGACTTTATTTTGGTGACATGGACCTTATTTTAAAATATCGGATGTTATAATGATAACTCTTTTGCTAATACTGCTCGGTTTATTGTGATATTGAATTTGAAGACAAGTTTTAAATTAAATTATTATTTATTGGTACTATATTTACGAGTTGGATTTTGATAGTATAATTTGTTTATAATTTCATGTTATTTATAATGTGATTTTATATTGATGGAATAACGGTTTCGAAAAATGTCTTTAATAATCATAATGTGATCCACTAGACTTAGTCGAAACGTATAGGCCGGGTCTAGGGGGTTACATTCAGCGTCGTACTCTACGGTTCCAGATGTTCTACCAACTTTATTAGCACTTTCCAACATCGGCACAAAGTTGTTCATCGACCTATATGTCGGGTTATCGAAATGACTCTCGAAACCCATTTGAGATGAAGTTCCAACCGCATTTCTTGATGACCTAGGCTGCTTAGATATATTACACAACTCAACAAATAACTAAATAATTGGAATATTTGTTGAGTCATGTAATTCAACCATAGTTATAATATCATCATCTTCTTCAAGTGGTACAACAGCATACCTGACCAGATTGGGACATACCATAAATCTGTACCTCAAATCATCAACTTTAGAACGAATTTTTCTTTCTATCCTCTCATTCATATCTACAAATGTGATGTCCCTTTTAAACATCATATTTATAGGTGCTTCAGACTGAAAAATAGCCCCGACCTCATTTTCCATCATATGTCTATTGTAATGGACAATCGTAAAAAATTTGTTGCTCATTTTCTCTACACGTAAAAATATAAATATTTAGAATAAATTACATTATAATGAAAATTAATTATTTACAAAACTATAAATAATAAATGTAAATAGGTTAACAATTTTTTTTTATAAAAATAATGCTTAAATACATTATTATTACAGTAAAAATGGCAGGATTATAGAATGTGAATTTTTTTCCAACTAAATCAAAATAAAAATTCTAATAATTATTATATAAAAATACAACTAAAAATTACACGAAAAATTAAATTAACAATAATACTCAAACTTAAATTTTTTGTATCAAACTTACATTTTCTAATTTTAAATTAACAATAATACTCAATCTTAAATTACATTACTATGGTCTCATGAACAAAATTTAAATGTATAATTCTCCTGATTTCTCCTAACATATATGAGCATTCGTTCAACATGGAAAAATAAACGGAGTTCACATGGGAAACGAGAAAGAACTTACGTGCTTTTGAACGACGTTAAACCAAAGCTCGGAAAATTATAGAACCCACAAAAATCTCTAATATCATTGAAAATCCACTTCAAGCAACAACTCCAATTGAATCTAATGAAAAAAAATCACGATCCTCACTTGCTTCTGTAAGTTAAAACCAACTCATGCATGCAGTGAAATGCAATCCCCACCCCTATTTTATAACAAGCCGATGCACCAATTATTGGTCTAATTATAATATCATCCCTGCAGTTGTCTTGAAGACCCCGAGCAAAAGCATTATTGGTCTGGTTGGTTGCAGATGTATTATTGGTCTCAACGCATGCAGAACGAATCTCACGCTTCGGCCCTGGGTGAAGACGCCAAACATTCCTTTTTCCCTTTGCTTGGAAGACGCCGAGAGATCCATTTTCCCATGCTTAAAGACGCCGAGCATTCCCCCGAGCGTGCATGGAAGACGCCGAGAGATCCATTTCCCATGCTTGAAGACGCCGAGCATTCCCCCGAGCATGCATAGAAGACGCCAAGATATCCAAGTTGGCAAGGAAATTTTTGTGTTGAAGACGCCGAGAAATCCCTTGAACGAATGCAACAATTCATAGCTTTTTCGTAACCTTGAAGACGTCGAGAGATCCCAAGCACGCTTGTAACCATGTAGCATTCACCCCATTTGGGGAAATAATCAAGTGACTGCATTATTTTGGGGAAAAAAAATTCCCACATACATTATCTGGGCACTTTTTCCGTCAAGAGGAAAATTGAAAGAAAAAAAATGAAAAATATTTAAATGAAAATTTTGCAAGAATTTAAAATAAAGTTATTTTGATATTAATTTGGTATTTTTAAAACGATTTTATTTTAGTATTGTTTGTTATTTTATAGTATCTTTAAAAAATAAAAAATGATGGATCAACTGATTAAGATTTTTTTTAATAGCAAGAATTGAATAATTAAAATGGAAATTTTTAAATTTTATTAACAAAAATAAGATTGAAATTAAAATTAAGTAATAAACTTATAATTTATACTTAAAAAAAGAAAGAAAAAATGTTTACGTGTCCGAGGCGTGGACATTTTTGCTTTCAATAAAGAAGTTGGTTTAGAATTCAGATTGCAGCAGACCAAAAACACACCAAAAGCGAAAGGGGAACTTACAATTTCAGAATCCAAACAAACAAAAAAAGACAACTTCCCCTTTTTTTGGGTTTTGTTTTGACTTTTTTAATGGCTGATGATGAGAATCAACAGCAGAAGCCGTCGAAACCAGTGGCGCCGTTGAAACGGCCGGTGATTACTCCCCCACCTCGGCCGTTTACGGATGCGTTATTCAACGGTGGGTCCAGCTTCATGGGCTTTAGTCCAGGTCCCATGACGCTTGTTTCTAACTACTTCTCCAGCACCGAAGATTTCAAGTCCTTTTCTCAGCTGCTTGCCGGTGCCATGGCGTCCCCAGCAGCAGCATGCGCTCAAAGACTGGACTTTCCTCTTCCTACTACGACCGAGGAGCAGGGTGATGTTAACCGCGCTGAAGGTGGAGCTGGCGCGGGGTTGCGGTTCAAGCAGAATAAGCCGGCGGGTTTGGTGATAACGCAACCACAACCGATGCCGCAAGGGTTCAACAGCCCTGCCAGCTTATTGGAGTCTCCAGGATTTGGTGTGTTTTCTCCTGGATCCCAGGTAATATTAACAAGTTCAATTTTCAATTGAAGGATTGATTTTTATTTTAGGCTCTACTTAATATGTTAATTTATTGTTAAATTTTATTGAGTTTTCCCCTGTTTGCTGGTTTGTTTGAGAGAGCATGAATAATTGGTCTACTCTGGAATCGGTGCTTTTAAGATGGGGAAGGTGAGTTGGTTAATTTCAAGAAAATGGGAATAGTGTTCTCTTATAGTTTCTCTGAATCTGTATCCGACACATGAATATGTAGATATGATCTCGACCAATATATATATATGATTTTTTTTTTTTAAATCTGACCTTACCTTCCTTTATATTCAATCATTTTAACCATTTTCCGGTATTTATGAAAATGTGTAGGGACCTTTTGGAATGACCCACCAGCAAGCTTTAGCACAGGTCACTGCCCAGGCTGCACAAGCTCATTCACTTGTACAAATCCATGCCAAATCTTCATCAACACCTCCATCATCTTTGGCACAAGTTTCTTCTTTTACTGCCAATACGGATCAGGAGGTGCCCATCTTATTGCAAGACTCCAGTGTTACGATGAAGCAACCATCAGACTTATCTCAGTCCGATCAGAGATCCCATTTCATTGTTGATAAGCCTGCTGGTGATGGCTACAACTGGCGAAAGTATGGGCAGAAACAAGTAAAAAGCCGTGAGTTTCCGAGAAGTTATTATAAGTGCACGCATCCTGGTTGTCCTGTCAAGAAGAAGGTTGAGAGATCACTTGATGGCCAAGTCTCTGAAATCATCTACAAAGGGCAGCACAACCATCAGCCTCCTCAGTCGAATAAGCGTGCAAAAGGTAGTGGAAGCTTAAGTGGAACTTCGAATAATCAGGGAAATTCTGAATCAATTTCCCAACTTCAGACTGGCAACTTGAGCATAATCAAAGAAGGGGGGACATCAGGTTATTCAATGTCCAAGAAGGACCTGCAGTCTAGCCTAGCTATAGCTGAACGTATTTCCGGAACAAGTGATAGTGATGAAGCAAGGAATAATGAAACCAATGCGGATGAAAAAAATGAAGATGAACCCGACCACAAAAGACAGTATGCAAAGATTTCTATATTCATTTCATATGCTCCATTGAATCAGTGATGAATTCCCTATTCGACAAAACTTGTTTCTTTATATGCAGAAATACTGAAATTAGAGTTTCAGAGCCATCTTCACAGAGAACTGTCACAGAACCTAGAATTATCGTGCAGACAAGAAGCGAAGTTGATCTATTGGATGATGGCTATAGGTGGCGCAAGTACGGACAGAAAGTTGTCAAAGGCAATCCTTATCCAAGGTAATCGTGTATCCATAATCCCGGGGTTAGCACTTCAATCAAACGTTACCTTTTTGTTTGAATCATAGTGAAGAAAGACACTTCATTCAAACGTTACCTTTTTGTTTGAATCATAGTGAAGAAAGACACTTCAATTTTGCATTTTATGTTGCGCTCTGCTCTTTTATTGTGTTTGATTATTTGGAACAGTCCCTAATGCATCTTTATGGTTCCACAGAAGCTACTATAAATGTACGACTCCGGGATGCAATGTCCGTAAGCACGTGGAGAGAGCTTCAACCGATCCCAAGTCTGTTATAACTACATACGAGGGAAAACATAATCACAATGTACCAGCTGCCAAAACTAGCAGCCACAACATGGCCAACACTGCTAACGTATCACAAGGAAGAGCACAGAATATAGCAACCGACAACCATGGTGTAAATATCAGTGCTGATTTTACCAACAATAGGCAACAACCAGTAGCACGTTTACGGCTAAAAGAAGAGAATGTAACATAATTTCTTTCAACTGTAACTTAAGGCAAATTCACAGAAGCCAGTGTCTTTATTGGAGGCGGTTATCAACCCAAGCCCAAACGATAGGTGATGTTCAAAAGAACAGGCGAAAGCATAAAAAAGAAAGGTCAGTTGCAGTTTGAAATAGGTTAAAACGTTGTATGTAAACTAGTTTAGTGGGCACACGTGCACACGTGCATATATATATATAGGTTATGATCCACTTACATTGTATAACTCTTTAGTTTTATACTGGTTTTAGATCATTGGATGAATCTAAAGATCCGTTATAGATTGAATTAGGTTACAAAGTTGTATGTAAATTAGTTTTGTGTGCATATAAATATATAAATTTTATACTCAACCATATGACATTGAATGCTCACAATTCTTTTACCATGGAGACATCGCTAGATTTTGTTATTGTAATTAGGTTATTTTTTTTAATTATAATTCTGTTTAAGACATTATATATAACTTGGAATAACGGATTGTAAGTTTGAGTTGCAATATAGCCCAAAAAATTGCATGTTAAAGGATAAGCCAACCATGGGGTTGCCATCAATTCAAGTATGGTGGGTTGCTTAGAGATAAAAAATGTATATACATACATTATTCTCTTACCTTTAGCCCACCATGGGAATCTCTTTTTCACATCCAAGTAATTGGAAAAAGATCATAGTGATCGGTGGGGTGACACTAAAAGAAAAGCAAGTGCTAAAAATAAAATTTATTCTTGTCTTTGCGCACAAATGAAGCAAACCACATATCTCCTTCATTATAATCATTTTGACCCTAATCGCTTTCGGCTGGAAGCCGAGCTTTAATTCTACTGTTTTCGATTTGGTTCCACTCCCATCACATTATATATTTACCTTCTTCAACCATATATGTAAATGTAACAAAATATGATTATCTTTGTTTTATAATAAAAAAATGGTTGTTTGTGATTAAACTTATAATATAAATATTTTATTATTATATTTCAAATTCCATTGATAAAATAATCTTAAACATGGGTAATTATTTCGGATATTATCACGGTAGAGCTATAATATAGTTGTGGAAAACAAATTAAACAATAGAGGAGAATCAGGAGGTGGTTTGGTCATTGCTTCGTCACAGGTACTATTAAATATCAATCACGTGTCTTTCAAACACGCCATGCTCACTCACGGGTCTTTTCCCTATTTCAATACATAAATTCATTGCTATAACAATGTTCAATTAGTTAAAAAATTATTAAATTCAGAAGACTATACTGTTTAAAGATTATTAATTATTTGACATTAAATGTTTATACATCATGCATATATAGTGCTCGAACCTAGATCTCAAGAGATAATAACAATATCTTAACTATTGAGGTCGTTTGATTTATAATAATTAGTTAAAATTTATTTATTTTTAATATTAATATTATGCAGTATACCAATAAATTTTATCATAATCTGTGAATTAGAAGAATATTAATGTTAAATATGTAAAAGTGTTGAAGAATATATGGAAAAAAGAATCTGAACATCCTTTTTTTAAGTGGCAAGTCGTGCCCTACCTCATCCAATACAATGGAGAGCATATAAAGAAATTTAGCGAACCAATTTTCGACCCTTGTGCTTTTCGTCTCTTTCGTTTGTCAAGCTGCTCTTATGTTCTTCTTATAAGTTAAAATCATTTAGTTTAATATTAAAGTTAATCCACCTAGGTATATTAATCTATTGTTTTACGTTTTCAATAGTTATACCTACATTCTGACAGCCCGTTTTAGTTTATTACCAAAACGCCGTTTTCCCTTCTTGATGTTTGTGTTTCATTACTCTTGTCTACTGGCTGCCCGGCTGAGCTGCCACTGTTTGTTTTCTTCTTCGTTTATGCTATAACATAAGACAAGTGGTCACAGTATCCCATATCTGACAATAAAATGCCAATTCCAGTATTTTTTTTATTTCTTAAAATGCCCTCTTCTTTTCAGCTTTCTTCACTCTCCGCCCCTTTTGCCCGTGACCCAAAATATTAATTTGAAATTTCATCAACCCATAGGCTATAGAGGCTAGTGTTTGAAACACATGGCTTCAAAGAACTAAATGGAAAATATTTATTTATTTTTTAATAAAAATACATTTAATGTCATGAGGTAAATATAGGTGCATGAGTTTTCAAAGTTGAAAGATGGGCAATTAATGAAATGTTGGGTTTCCCTACCAATTTTTATTATTTTTGTTTTTACTTTTTCACTCATTGTGTCAAATTCCTGTCTACAGAAGAATACTCCTTTCCGGTCAACATAATAAACACATTGAGTGGGTCATCTTTTTTCTGTCATCACCAAACGAAGAATCCATAATACGTTTGATTTACATTGGTAAACATTGTTTATGGAATTTTGTTGGCAAATCTTTCCTTTTCTTGGTGTTAATCTCGGATATAGTTTGTAAAGCTCAGTTTTTTTTATTTTAGATCTTAAAAGTGGAAGAATTTAATGGGATTAATGGTTGGTTGAGTCATGTTGAATTGAATCCCCGGGGGACCAAATTTGAAGAAGAATGCTTGGTGAAGGCAGAAACAAAGCAACTGTCTGTTCCATTGGGCTTGTGACACATGATTTGCAGCAGTGAAAAAGGTTATGGCAGAAAAAAAGAGAGAAAAAATAATAATATTTCTTTTAAAAAAGTAAAAGTTGAGTTGGACTTGGAAGGGTAATTTATATGCAAAGGAAAGATAACCAGATACACTCTTTGTTTCTGTTTACATTTGTGGGTTTGGGAATACACAGATCTTTAGCCAAAGTAAAATAATTTACAAACGAAACTAAGAAACCCCAAAAACTCAGACTAGCCCTCACTTTTTTTTCTTCCATTTTTTCTCTTTCCTTGCATGATGCAGTGTTATGATTGAGTGAAACTACACAAAGATTTTTTTTTACCTTGCTGTTCATACCTTTCTTCATCGAGTCCTTGTTCTTCATTTTTTACTCTTTCCATTTTGGTTTTCTGATTAGACCCGTGAAAAAAATGGGTAATGGTGCCTGGGAAATGAGGGGAAGTGTGAGAAAATAAGCTCAGGCAAAACACCAGATTTTTTTTGTTTTTCTTGTTTCCTACTCTTTTTCTCTTCTTTGTTTTAGTTTTACCTTTGTTTCTGGGGCTGCAACATTTTAAGAGGAAATGAGGAAGCATGGATGGCATCTTCCTTCTCATCCACTTCAGGTGTTTTCTTTTTTCTTGTTGCTGTTTCTGGTTTTATGTGAAAAAAATTCTGAGCTTTTTGTTGTTTCAGTTCTGAGTATTGAGCAAAGTTTACATTTTTTTCTTAACTTGTTTTTTTGAAGGTGGTGGCTGTTGCCGTGTTCTTGGCACTTGGATTTGCTTTCTATGTGTTCTTTGCTCCCTTTGTTGGGAAGAAAATGTTTCAATATATTGTGATGGGAATCTATACACCTCTTGTAAGCCATTTCAAAAATTTTCCTTTTTTTTCCTACATATTATTAAGAACATTTTCTTAGTGGATTAAAGCACTGAAATATATGTTTTGTTTTCTTCTTTATCTCTGATTCATCTGTTTGTATTTATCACTATGGTGCTTTCCTCTAATCTGAGGTTCCTGTCCTTCTTGAGTCATGCTTTTCAATCAACTTGTCACTTCAGCTCACAAGGCAAATATGTTGCTCGTCTTTTAGCAGTCTTAGATTCTGTACTTGAATTTCAAATTTTGGCCATTAAAAGATTGTTAATATATCACTTGATTTGATTGAAGCCTAAACATTTGAATTTTTTCTTCGGATTAGGAGCTGCAAATTCCCCGTATGCCTGTTTCGCTTTGGATTTTGGCCTTCTAGGATAAAGTAGTTTTAAGTTATTGGTGCTGAATTCCTTAACGGAAGAAATTAAAGAACGATTGGTTCTTCCTGGAAGGGGAAAAAGCCCTGAGTTCCTTGTTGAGGACAGTGTTGGGTTTCAGAATGCTGCTCAAGTTTTTCATCTTTCCTCATGGTCGATTTAACACCGGAGAAAGTTCTTTGTTTTGCTACTAGAATCTGGATTCTTGGGTTCCATTGCTATATGAATCTTTTGGGGAAGCTGTCTAAAGTGAATAATTTAAGGCTTATAACTTATAATTCTCATCACATCTTCTAAACATTTTGTTGTGTTTCATGTGTCTTTATCACCATGGAGTATTATTAGTAACAATGTCTTCTGTTTAGATTACTTGTTGCTTTGGCCTATATATTTGGTGTGCGGCAGCGGATCCTGCAGATCCTGGCGTGTTCAAGTCTAAAAAGTATCTTAAAATTCCCGAGAATGGGAAGTATTCTGGACCAAAGGACTCTAAATTCGGTGGAGATTCAGCCACAACCTTTCGTGATGATAATGATACTTCAGTTGGAGGAAAAACTGTGGAGAAGGATGCAGCGGTGAAAGATGAAACCTTGAAAGATACCAGTGTTGAAATCGAGGGAAATGATGGTTTGCCGAAGCAATCATCTTGTTTGCTATGGATTTTCTCTCCTTGTGCTGTTATCTGCGGATGTACTGGCTCACATGAAGAATCTTCCGAGCAACAGATGAGTGAAGATGGCATGTTTTATTGCAGTTTGTGTGAAGTTGAGGTGGGAAGATTTGGCTTCTTTAAAGTTCTATCGTTCATTCTTCTTTTTATAAGATGATTATTACATTGTGATCCTTATATCGAGATTGCTTATGAGGGAAAAATTGCATTTTAATTGCCTGGTGTGGAAAAAGAATTGTGCAAAAAGGATATCCTGGAATGACCCCGGCTTTGTTCGATCAAATTAGAACACAATCACGGATTTTACACCAGTCTTATGTTTATATCAGTATTTATGCAATTGCCAACCTTTTTGACGTTGTAAACACAGCATATTTTATTCTTTGCAGGTTTTCAAATATAGTAAGCACTGCAGAGTCTGCGACAAATGTGTTGACCGTTTTGATCATCACTGCAGGGTAATTCAGAATCTTTATTTGTTGAATACCTTACCTGGTTCATCAGAAATTCTGCTAATACTTGTTATATTCACTCGGATTTTTGTAGTGGCTAAACAATTGCATAGGCAAAAGGAACTACAGACAATTTTTCACTCTCATGGTTTCTGCTCTTCTATTGGTATGCTCAGCCTACCTCTTCCATGTTCAGATCATATTCGTCACATCACATCATGTAATACTGTATATTCATTTGTGACCCCGATTTCCATTCTGGACGATCTCTTCCTTAGACACAAACCTCCGATCCCGGTATTTGAGAACAGTAACACTAGGCTTCTTACTTGATAACAGCTTGTATTCTTCTCATCAGCATTCTGAATATACAATAAACTATGTTCCATTGGTCGATTTGTACCTTACATTTAGCCTCTATTATCAAGTCCTTTTATCTTTCAATCAAATCCAAACTCATGTATATTAACTCCCATGCCATATCACTTGCTGCCATGATTCCACGGTTGCCAGAAACAAAGATAACCCGGAGTAAGAATTTTACTTTTCTAGTCATTTTAATTGAAATTGACAGGTATATACTTGGTTTGTTCACCTTGGCCTTGAGATTGCAGCTTATTCTACAATGGTCGACTGGAATCCTTGTACTTATCTGCTGTTTCATTGAGCGGAAGCAGTTTTCTGCTGATATTTCAGCGAAGTTAGGAAGCAGTTTCTCTGTGGTTCCATTTGTTATTGTGGTTGTAAGTATTCTGTTACGTTTCTATTTATTAATCGACTTACACCGGCACCTTTCAATGCTGAATCATCTTCTAGGCTACTTTAGCATTTAGTAGCTTGAAACAAATTCAATAATTACAATCACCCTTTGATTTAAAATGTTAAGCTTAATGTAGTTTCTTACTTTCACAGGCATTGTGCACTATCTTGGCTATGATGGCGACATTACCACTTGCACAGCTTTTCTTCTTTCACATTCTACTCATAAAAAAGGTACGGCTACGACTAGTAAAATCTTCATGAGTATTAGAAGGTAAAGGAAAAAAAATGAAAAAGCTAGCGAACTAATTAGGTGATTTCGGAATGTGCCTCAGGGAATCAGTACATATGATTACATAATAGCTTTACGGGAGCAAGAACAAGAGCAACAAGGTGTTGGTGGTCAGCAGAGTCCGCAGATGTCCCCTGCCAGCTCACTTACTGGATTAAGCAGTGCTAGTTCGTTTTCCACTTTTCACCGGGGTGCATGGTGTACACCCCCACGATTGTTCCTCGAAGATCAGGTAATTTTTACGAATACCTCCTTAGGAGAGTTAGTAATTTTTTGCTGAATCACTGAAGCTGAGATCGTTTTCCGTAATTGGTTCTAGTTTGATGTTGTTCCTCCCGATACTGGATCTGTGAGTTCGTATGGGAAAAAAATGGTTGGGGAGGAGCCAATTAAGAAGAACCCTGCTGCAGTTAGGATCAGTCCATGGACATTGGCACGGTTAAATGCAGAAGATGTTTCAAAAGCCGCTGCTGAAGCAAGGAAAAAGTCCAAAATCCTGCAGCCTGTGGTGAGACGTGAAGCCCCATTCGTGCTTGAAGCGGATAGTAGCTTTGGCAGCAGTGGTCATCGAATGTTCCCGAGATCTGATGGCAACAGAAGACGAGCATCTAAACGGGTACGTCTCCCCGCTGACCTACCCATGGAGCCCGTAATGAACATTCCAGCCCAACCTGCTGATAAAGGTTTCAAAGACACATCAAGTAGTTTGGCACCACTTCAACTGGAAGCTCGGAGTGCTTTCCAAACAAGCCGAGCAATGTCAAGCACTGTTGGGATTGTTGCCTCGTCTCCAGAGAGCAGTTTAGATTCTCCAGACATTCATCCATTTCCGGTTTCCTCATCTGGAGGTGAAGAAGCAAGACAGCTGAGAGGTTTGCCAGCTTTCAATATGGCTGCTCAGAAGGGATTCCCATTATCGAGATCTGCTAGTGATGGATATGAAGCATCTGGTGGGGAAGACAGCGATCGAGTTCCTTCGAGAATTATCCAGAAACTAACAAACTGGAGTAATATTCTCCTTTCTGACCATGATGAGAGGGTTGTTAAAGCACCGTCATCATCCGGCCAGCTTAACAACAGAATGCCATGACTCATTGTGAATTAGGGTCGAGAAAGTTTCATTCTTTAATTTACGGTCCTAAGAAGTTCAAGTACGGAGTGGACTGTTGTTGAATTCATTTAAAATACTCATGTCAGGCACAACTGGAAGAGATGCTGGCAGCTGTAGCGACAGAGAAGGAAAGGCTTTTTTTTTTGTATGTATTAGGTACAAGACTACGTTGTTGTAGTTGTCGGTTTTGGTGAAAGTGATTCCTCCATTGACGTTTGTTGAAAATTCCCTCAATTTCTGAAAAAACAAGGGTGAGAATTTTTATAGGTAGTTTGCGTTGCTATATCCACTATACAATTCAGCCTAGCACTTGAGTTTACAGAAACCAAAATCTCAGACGAAAAAGAAAATAAGATTCAAAGGTAGACGGCATTGTTAAAATTCCTGAAATTTTATTAATACCAACACGTATACAGATGGGAACGTTAGCATTGTATATATAAAAATTATATTTGAATACTTTTTAATAATCTATACTTACCAATACGAAACTATTCATTTTACATTTTACTAATCTTTGGTGGTGTTGTGGTCTCTTTGGAACCATCAAAATCTGTTGGTGCATGAGGGGCGATTCCTCCCAGGTTGGCAAATCCTTGCTGATGATGGCCGTGCGTTGCAGGTGACATACTTAACAGCTGCTGCTCGGACTCCCTTTCATCCCCAATCTGCGCCTTCCCTCTGGTGTAAGCCATCTTTGGATACCCTCAAAGTTAATGTTAATGGCGGTTTGTCGATTGCATCAGGGTCTGCTGCTACCTGGATTATTGTTCGAGACTCCCGAGAGATTGTAATTGTTGGTCATGTGCCATTTGCTGGATTGGGCGATGCGAGTATCGTTAAGGCACAAGCTCTTACAACAAGTGTTCACTTAACAGTTAAATTGAATGTTTCGCGGGTAATTGTCGAAATTGATTCTATTAATCTAGTACGCCAACTGGTGTATGGTCGACTTGATCTCTGTGGCATGCTTCCTCCTGGTAGAAGCAAAATTAACGTCTGGTATATGACAATGCCTATTTTTCGAATCACCTACGTTCGACGCACAACCACTGATTCTGCTCACGTTTTTGCTCAATGGACGTCTTCTAGTCGTAGTCCCTTGTACTTTTCTTATGATAGCCCGGATTGCATTGCTAATATTGTAGTTACTGATGGTTTCCGAATTGCGGTCAAGACCTGCTCATCCAGCTCACAACCAGAACCCAAATTGCCTCGATCCGATACATTGATCCCTGTCAAACTGAGTGGTCCAACTGTGAAAACACGACTGTGACCTAATATGTCTTCAACCATTGAATATATTCAGCTGCCAAGGAATTAAATAAACAACCCCAGCCCTTCGTATTTGCAATTACATCATTCTTGATAAACTCCAACTCAGAATCCGATCGTTTGTATGCCAAATGTTCTCGCTTGAAGATAGGGGACCCAGGTAGATGATCAAACTGGACTTCACTCGAAGACTCTCTCAACATTGTTCCAAATATAATCAATGATAGAAACCAGAAACACTCCGAAAGAGAAGAAAGTGATACTGGGTATTTGCAAGCGGGTTGTGACTTGTGAGGATTTGAGTCCAACCGAGTAGCGAGGGTTAGAGTGAGAGTTGAACCAGTCGAGTAAAGGGTGATGAAGTTTTGCTAAAGCCGTCATGAGTTGACGGATTCCACTGTTGCCAATGTCTTTAACATGTTCAACAGCGGGTGGGTTGAGAGGGCGAGGAGGGAAAAGAAAAACGAAGGGAGTAATGGAACAGAGGAGAAATGACAGGGAGGTTCTTAGGGGTGACTATGATGGTGACGGTTAGGCCATGGAGAGCGAGTTGGTGCGTGAGGTGGACAAGGGGAAGCCTGTGGCCTTGACCTGGGGTATGGAAACACCAGAATGTGAGGCTGAGGGCTGGCCATTGTGGATGGTTACGTGATGATGAGAGGGAGCTGTTTTTCGATATCTATCATTTATTATTGGAATAATTCTAAATAAAAATATGTTTCCGTCTCTGAAATTTATCCAGAGCTAGCCCTATCCGGCTGGGCTGGGACATTGTCTCAGTTTTTGCAATATAAGCTTCAAGAAACTTTGATTCCATAAAAAGGAACTAGTCATAAATTATGTCAAAAAATCACATACCTACACTTTGCTTACCTGTTTTTAACAAAACATACATATAACAATGTTGACGAGCTACAAAACTCATCAATACAAAAAACTGAATCACTTCCGCTTCTGCGCTCCACCAGAACACAAGTTGTAAACCCTGAATGCACCGGATAATTGTGAAAAACAAATCAGAATGTGTAATTGAACTTGACCACCAATTTGTAATATGTTAAAAACGTTGTAGCAGTCTCAAATCTTGACAATCACGATTCGGAAAAAACAAGAGAAGAGACATACCCCGGATAACCGTCATCGATATTCAAGCCTCTTTTCTAGTTATCCTGTGATTTTAAGCAAGGAATGATGATTAGAAACATGGATCGAAAAAAGGTAATCCAAAGAGAAATCCTATATTCTAAATACTACCTAATAAACACACAAGTCCTAGAAGTTAAACTTGTCTACCGAACCAAAACAAACAAAAACAACAAAAGTTATGCGTAAATGACAATGAACATGGTAAAAACATAGATCAAGCCGAGCAAAAAACATATCGGTAGACATAGACGCTGAATCCCGGTAAACCCGAGACAAGTAACCAGGAAATCAAAAGAATATTTACTCAAATACCGCCTTATATGACCTTAATGGAGTTAATTTAAGCTAAGTAGCTTCCATATACTGACCACACTTGCATACTGTTGCAGTCATACTGAAACCTTGCAGAACTGGACCCGAAACACAATAAAGCAAGGGGAAAATGTTTCCAACAATTTAGGAACCTAAAACATTTGTTCCATCTCCTAAAGTAACATTGATTGGCAGAAAAACTTCCTCACCTGAAGCAATAAATTCCCAAAGCTGTCGTAATTTCATGAATAACCGATGTGGCAAAGTGTAAGTAGAGCGATCCTATTTGATGAAAAGAGAAATATCAGACAAAATATAACTTCATACAAGAACCACCACAGTAACTAGGAAAGCAGCATTGTACCTGTGAATACGCAATAACCGAGAAGAACCCAAAAATCATCAACTAAAGGAACACTGAAGGGAAAAGGTAAACATCAATTAGCATTCATGTTAACTAACAACGGATAAGGCAAGTAATATATCAGGTTAGAACTATGATACTCAGACTCAGGCGTATAAGTATGTGCTCGACACAGTACTATTCAAATTTCATTTTTCCCATGAATTCCATTCACTTGGAGGATCCTTGAAGGATCATGCCCAATTACCCATGTCCAAGTATGTGTCAAACACGGGTACTTCATGAAAAATGAGAAGTCGGAGAAACATATGGACAGAAAGCAAAATCTAACACACATACCCATCATTCAGTCTAGCTGTAAGAGCATTTGCAATTGCCAATGGAAGGTACAAGAGTGACTGCAAACAAAACATACATAGAAGAGTTGAGCATTTTAGTGATGAAGTTTAGGTGGGATTTTTATTTAATATGCTGATCCGAATAAGAATGCTACATACCATGCACATGTTCGTCTTTAGTCCCTTGGGTTCATCACACAAGTGAGCCAAAATCATCCGTCCCTGCCAAAAACCAAATAACCTTCTTTAACCATTTCAATAGGAATTTGTCTTCCTAGCAGTACTAGGAAATATAGAAGTTTGGAAATGGAATAAAAAATGAAGAAAACAAGAAATATGAAGATACATGGATAAAAACGATACAAACAGAGGTCGTATAAATAAAACTTAAAGACGAGCAAAAATGCTTCTTCACTGAAAAGGAAGATCTGAAACCATTCAAACTTTAAAACTTATATAGGGTGTGTAATAGGGAGTGAAGCCCCATGATTAACAAACTATGAATTGATGAGTGTTATAAGATCCCAATAAACAGACTAGTAAAACTTACCACAAGGAACCCAAATGCAAGTCCAGTTCCTAGTATAACTAAGTGTGGGTAGTTTCCCATGATATCTGAGGGTGATAGATAATCCCTTCACATTGAAAGAAAAAAGAATAAAGTTCCATGTAAGGACAAAAAGGAATAATCGCTACATTGAAAAATGGAGAGGTTCAATTTACCAAACAAGCACTCCTCCCATGAGTATGACAAATGGATAAAGCTGCCAAGAAAGAACAAGAAAGCATCATTTAAGCAATTAAGCATACAAGGAGGGAAGAAAGAAGCAAGTAATATATAACACAATTACCATTGCTAATGCCAACAACATGCTTCCTTTTCGTGCCTGAACGACCTTATGGACGTTCTGTATACTGCAAAAGAAAACATGCAAAGACATAAGAGAAACTTATGCTGACATAAATCAAAGAGGCCTAGCATCAATAATATAAAGAACCCTAGACTGGAATGAGAAGGTATCATGCATGGAAACCTTGGCATCTGTATTTCATATGGTCCTGGGAAGCTAAAATCTCCAAGCAATAATCAAATATTATGATTTCAAGACTATGAGATGAGATGAAAGAAAAAGAAAAGGGTCATTGATGATGACACTGTGATTAGATCATGTACTATCTTCAGAACCGAAAGAAATAGTGTAAGGCTACAAGAATGCCAAAATGAAAGAATAAGACTAAAAAACTGGCTAAAAAAGAAGAAAATGTTCGACAAAATATCGAAGCAACTGAGACTAACAATCCACATCTCTACTGTAAGGCTATGAGAATGCCGAAAAGAAAGCATGAGAAGCTTCACCATGAAACTCTGAATTAAACTGAAAGTATTAGGATCTGGATAGCCACTTACTTGCAAGTAACAGTAGGTATAACAGCAAATGCGATCATAAAATACAGCACAACTCTGTATGTTGGAATTTCTAAACCCAAAAATAAATAAATAAATAAGAAAATATGGCAGAAACAACAAAAAAGCAAATGAGTTTTTTTATTTTATTTTTAAAATGATAACAGAAATTACAATAGACCAATAATAATTAGCCGAGTTTGACTGGAATTTCTTATGAAACAATAATGATAATATAAAATTAACCATCAAATATCAGACGCATATACAGATAAAATTGTTATTACTTAGTAGATAATAATCTTATAATGCAATCCACCATTTGCAACTAGGTTTTGGCAATCTAAAGAAATACATGGAAACACCAGATACATCAAATAGCTAATGATCAGGAAAAATGATAGCTTAAGATTGTAGAATAGGAACATTTCCGAAACAGCAGCAACATCAAGATGAAGTAGTTAAAAGAAGCACAAAATCAGCATATGGTGGCTATCATTTATTGATAAAAGTTGAAGCCATCTCATCACAGAATCTAGTGAATCCACCATAAATTCATCATGCAATAACTAGTAAAATATCACAAAGATGTATCATATATTTCTTTTACAGTATTTGTGCTGCAACGACTGATAAAGGCATTAGCTAGTAATTGTTTTTGAAGAAAAATAATAAAATAACAACTTACCATTAAGAAAAGGTACCCAGCTGAAGATGGGTATGGACTGTCCAAATTGTTGGGCCCACCACTGGGCACCTTGCAGGGGAAAAAAGATGATACGATTAGAAAAGTAAAGGGGAAAGAAAAGGAACATAGAGGAAAAACTATACAATAAAAGTTCAAAATGTCAAAGCATGACAGCTAAGTAAAAAACAAAGTTTTCAAAGTACACATTTTCAAAGGCATAAGTAACACACCAAGTGAAGGAACATACCCAAAAATCCTGTCAAAAAGTGCATTACATATATCAGAGCAAGACCCTCAGTTGGCCCATTAACTACAGGAAGGATCAGCGTATTGGTGAAATAGCTGAAAATACAAAAGAAAAACAGCGGAAGTATCAGCACTGCTAAACCTTCAACTGTATGCAAAAAAGGTTAGAAACCATAATGCCCTTGTTAAATTTTATGTGGCAGGGATGGATACATGCAAGAGGAATACATCTCAAACAACATACTTAAAATACCCCAAAGACAGCATGAAATTATCACAACATTTTTCAATCAATTACCTAACAATTTTGCAAAGGAGCAATTAAACAAGTTTGCAAGGCCTTTTAGAATATACCAAGTAGTAGAAAATAGTAAAAGGTGTACGGTTTCCTAGAGGAGGGAGGGAGACACTTCAGATTACTTACTGTTCCCATGCAGCTCCATAAAATGGAACAGCTGAAATTACCCAGAACCAGAAACTGTCCCCCCCACACATGGCAGTGCTCCCAAAGGCCATGCTTTCAAACTGTGAAAAGAATCAATCTTATATGATGAGTAACTTTAATAGCCATTGTTATGTAATGCAACGAGTAAAATACATACCGCACATGCAAGCGCATCACAACCTGTAATGTTTCAGGCCAACCAAAAATAATTATTTGGTCAGAAAATGTTCTGATGAAAATAGAAAAGGATTGGAGCAGAGACATGATAACATGAAATTACCATGGTCAAAAAGTTCTCCAAGTGGACCAGAGGAGTTTGTTCTTCTGGCTTGCTTCCCATCGACAGCATCAAAAGTCTAGTAGATAATTACTAATATGTCAAAAGAACAATACTAAATATAGAAGTACAACATAACACGCCAAGGGAACAAGACGAAGAACTTTGGATACATCGTCGGCAAGGAGGTATAAACCTGATATAGAAATAGAAGTAACCCATGTGCAAAATGAACCCATCTTGGTGGTGCTGAATCCAATTGAGGGGAATAAACCTGAAACAGCGATATAAATAAATAAACTGAATATAAAGATAATAGCAAAACATGTGTCATCAGACAGTCAAGGCAACACAGTAGAGTATCAAAAGCAGAAATTGCCCTCGGAAGAAATTAAAATTATTTCTATACTAAATTGCAAGTGCGTGCGGAAATGAAAGAAAAATTATGTTTCTAGCATGTTAAATCACTGTAATCAAGTTAGATCAATACCCCTCTCACTATAAATATACATACATCCAACCCAACCACACATGACGGAAATGGCTAGAATTCATACTAAAATAGATAGTCCACAAATTCCCATACCCTTAAATCTGAAAGTTAGAAGATATTCATTGAATAACATAAATTGGAACCAAATATTACCGAAGAGTTGTTTCAAATTGATGCAGAGTTTTAACAAAAGAGAATTTGCAGAAAATTTCTATAAAATAAAACTACCAGAAAAAAAAACATCATCTTAAATCAACATGAAAATAACATTGAAAAAAATATGGAGAGGCAGAGTTCCCACTTACATAGCCAAGTACTGCTGATGTAACCAAGAACATAAATCCCATGAGTGTTATCTTAAGAAACAAAAATATAACAAATTAGTAATCAAACAAAACAGCTATTACATGCATATGCAGCCCATCCACACATACATGTGCAAGTTTGCATGTTCAATGAAATTGCAATTTAGAAGTCGTAACTTGTAAGCATAACATACCATGTTTGGTCTGGAGAAAACAGCAAGCCGGTAGAGAACACATACAGAAACATAGATACGTTAGTGCCAGCAAAAATCACTGGAGATGGCAAATACTTAAGCTCAATTGAAGCATGATATAATGTTTAAAACTTAAACTTTCACATTGATAATTTCATTCCCCTTCTGTAAGTTCAGTTTTATATCAAATAGCAAAATCCACAACATATACAAGTAGTATCATTCATAAAGGTGTAGGTAGGAACCAGTTCTTTAAAATAAATATCAAGACTTAAGAAGCTAACAAAATGAAGCAGCAAATAAAACTATGGTTATTCAAAGCATTTATAAAGAAACAACGATGAACTTACGGCATCCAAAGAGGGAAGAAGTTGACAACGCGACTCCAAAAGGGTTGCAAAACATATTTAGCAAGGCAAGAGTGATCCACACCACTGTATTTGTATCTTTTCAAAGCTGCTACACCATGTGCTCCTATATATCCCATTTTATCACAAGAAACTGCTAAAGCTAGACAGAAATTTTATCAGAAATCAGTAATTTAAGCAATATAGTATTGATAAAAATGCTTCAGAATAAAAAATCATAAAAAAAAAACCATCAAGGAAATCCCATAGAATCAGTACAAAGAAAACCCCATGCTTATTTATCATAAAAATGATTAACTTTTGAGGTAAAGCATAGTTAAAGATTACATTAACTTTGGAGTGAACAAAAACTTTTAGCTTTACACTAACTGAAGCTTTAAGAAAGCAAGAGAGTGAGATTCAAAGAGATGGATCAGTATAAATCATGAACAGCAGGATTGAAGTGAAAAACAATGAACAAAAAGACCACAAACTTCAAAAGTATAGCAGATCTGAGACTTAAAAGCAAGCAAAAAAAAGAGAGAGAAAATGCGGAATAATCAAAGTTTGTTTATGTATACCTGATTGGAGCAAATATCAAAGCTTGGGAATTAGATTTGCAAAGGAGTCAAATAGATCACGTAAGGCCAACAGGTTTCTGATTTTTTCTTTTTCTCTCCCGCGTTTTAAACAAATGAAGCAGCGTAGGAGAAGCGTAAAAACAGAGTTTATTACATAAACGATAAATACGATATCGAGGAGCCAACCAGTTCTAATGGAATATTTAATTTCTCGTCTTTTTCTCCTTTTTAAATAATATATGACATCCATCTTTTACGGTTTTACCCTAAATAATTTTTTAATAATTATTATTTAAATAAAATTAAGTTACAATTATTTTTCTTTTGATATAACTACCGATACTCGATTTATTAATTGACTAATCCAAATCGAATACTGTAAAGACGAGGACAACATTTTCATTCAATTTGTTCCATTCGTAAAACATCAAGATTTAAGCCTCTAATATTATACAAAGAATTGAATGTTTCATCCCACTAGATTAATCAATGGTTAATAAATTAAGTTACGATTATAATCTTAATAATATATACTTTTATGTTACATTTTAGTTTAAACGTAATTCTTGAACCAAACAATATTATTAAATTAAAAAATATTAAATTAAAATAAATATTTAGAAAATATTAATATTTGAAATACACGTGCACGTAAAACAAAAATAAAATACATTTACACGTATAGTAAAATATAATTGTATTTGCATACTTATATGTTTTTTTATATAAATAGTTTTTAGAAAATATCAAATACTATAAAACAAAAACAAAATACACGTGGATGGCGAAAATATGTGGGTTTAGTTGAAAACTTGATTAGAATTTGAACACGTTCTGCAGACACATTTCCAAAGCTGCTTAATAATTAATAATGTCAAAATAAGATAAATTAAGACAAAATACATTAGAGATCATTAAATTATATTTAAATAAATAATTTATTATTAAATTTTAGAAAATTATAAAATATAATCATTAAGTTTATAAAATTATTACAAGACAGCCATTATAACATCATCATTGTATAAGAAATGATAAATTTAATGATCATTTTATAAAGATTCAATAAAAATAATTATTATTTTATAATAATTTAATAAGAAAATAAGTTTAGGTATCTAATTGGACAAACAATATACCGAATTGAGTAAAAAGGCCAAGTCCGGGTACCAAAATGTATATTTACCCCTTTTTTCCCAAAAAGCAAACTACATTAGGAAAAAAAATCAATTAACCATTTTTGGCAAGAGCAGCACATTAGAGTGAAGACATACACATCAAATTATAAATTTCAAGCAATTACAATTACAAATATGAAGACCATAACTATGAAATGTTAAATACCTAAATGCCGATTTCTGTATATTTGAAGAATCGTATTCTTGTACACATGTTCAAATACGAATCGGATACAATACAGGTGTCGGATACGGGTCCGATAATTTAAAGAAAACAGAAGCCTGAGTAACATAGATTACCATTATATAGCTTTCTCCAGCCATCTTGGCAATCTCAATGAAGTCTTCATTCCCATTCTGGTAAGGAACACTGAATACAAGAGGTGCAGCAAGAACACAAAGGACGCACTATTGAGCAAAACCTGTTGGATTACCAAGATAATAATGGTTAAATGTTTGATTAACGCACCCGAAAACCAAGATAAGGTAGCATTGAAAACCAAGATAAGGTAGCATAAAGGCAGTCGAATGTACCAAAGTCCCGAATAAGGAATAAATGAAGTTCATCGATGGAATCAAATTGATGCCAATCGCGGCGAAGATGTACGAGAGAGAAGCATGAATGTTTATGGTGATCTGCAAGCATTTGGTAGAACCATGCAAGTTGATTTCCAACACTGAAGTACAAAGAGTAGAAATACAAAAGGAATATCGAACTCGGAATTACCAAACCCAGTATGTTTTCTCTAATTAAGAACGATGTTGTCAAGACATAGCCCACCAAGCCAATCGCTCGAGCCTGCAATTTCAAAAACGATCAACCACGGCAGTTCATATTATGAAGAATTACATATAATCTAATGAGAACGAATGTGTATAAAGGAGAAAAAACTACAAGTGTGCACAAGGAAATCGAGACTTTCCAATCTGCTCCCAACCTGAAAAAACATAAAACAAAATCGAGCAAGAAGTAATTATTGATGTGTATATGTTCACTCCATAAAACACAGGGCATTCATCATACAAATAGTAAAACAATATCATATGTGATTCAGATAGATTTCTATAGAAAAAGCCATAGGCACTACATTCTTATATGCTATGTTGCTCCAACTATTATTTGCAAAGTACCAGTGTCCAAAACTAGTATCCAGAACATAGTTAAACATGGATATGGGAGGTTATGAATCTCAAAATATATCAAAAAACCTTAGAAAAAATCGAGCATACCCACATAATACACATACCTGTATCCAAATCTGACCCGAGTCCTAATAACATAGTTTATATGTAAAGCTTTAACAAACATATATAAGGGCAAAAACAACTAGTTACCTCCATAAAGCACCCATTGTGAAACCAGTTATTCCATGGGTAAGCTACACGAGCAAAATATGGAAAAAGTTGGTCAGTTATCACCATATCACTTACGGACATAAATGTTAATTTCCACTACTACCATTGCATTGCAACTTTGGCAGAAAAGGGAACGTTCTCTAAAAGCAGTAATTTATTTACTTGTTCAATCCAGTTATAAGCTGTTTATGAAATTTACACGCAACATGAGTGAAATATGGAAAAAGAATATCAGGTTTTGCACTTGAAAAGAAACATCATCACAGGCTCTTTCTACCTAAAACCCGGTACATAAGAAGCAAACACACATTATTTACTATGTCGCTGAAAAAGAAGTAGATAGAGCAGCAAGTAATTTCAAATTTGGCAATATTTTAGTGGCTTAATCATAACTCAAATCAAGCAAAACAAGTTTAAATTAGAATTGATTCAGCTCACCAGATAGTTTATGGCTTTTACAGGGCCAGACAAGACGAACAATAACACAACCGTCGCCACCTGCCACCGTGAAAGACCATCTCAATAGTTAGAAACTGATCATTTTGGAACAGTATTGACACTCATTAGATCTTCTGATGAGTTACAAACCAATTGCTTCCTCCCACATGCAACACCCCATCGCATAGAGGAGATCACGATCGGCAATGAAAAGAAACACCCAAAGTAGTTCTGTTGGCAAAAATCGATCACAGCTAGAAGAATGAGGATTTTACAATCTAAAAATGATCCAGAATCAATCCAAGAGCTATCAACAACGATGCATTATAAACAATATGTTTATCATCATATCGAAACAAAATTAAACTATTATAAAATCCAAAGCCGAAAGTTCAAAAACACTAAAATCATTTCTAAATCATAGAGATTTTCATTTAGTCTTAAACTATACAACGAAATACAATCTTTCTTATCCCACAGACACCATTGCATGCTTTAAATTTAAAATTGAAATTGAAACATCTTCACGGAATTCTCAAAATTCAATAACCTCAATCGCGAGGGAATTGCTCAAGAAGTAGACAAGTCCAGTAACAGCAGCAAACATGGAACACTCCACCAATCTCAGTGTCTTCCTAAAAACGACACCGTTGGGTGCCAAGTCTTCAAATTCCGTAATAGGCCCATCGTTTGGTCCTTCCCTCTCTCCTTCTTCGTCGAAATAAACCGACGGTTCAACTCTGGAAATGCATGAAATTTTGAAGCATTGGGCGGTTATGGGGAAGTAAAGGGGAGATGATTGGAAGGGTAGTCTGATAAACACCTGAAAGGGGGGAAGGAGGCGGGTAAGGGTAGTCTGGGAAATTCGGAAATGCAACGGTTGGTGTTGGATTTTGAGGAGATTAATGTTGATGGTCATGGCTTTTCTGATTTTTCTCTGTATCTGTTTTGCTTATTGGATTTAATCGTCGCCGGGAGCGGGGAGATGATAGGAAGAGTGGGAGAGCAAAGGGGCCTTTTGGGCTGTAAATGGGCTGGGCTTCCCTCTTCAAAGGGAGACAATTCAACGTTCTAACATTTGCCGCCGACTCGCGGCTGCATTAAACCTCTCCCAGGCCGCGTCTTCCCTGTCCTAATCTGTCCCTGAAAACTGAAACCGGCGGCAAACCAAAAATACTACAAGTTTTTTTTTATATAAAGTTTTTCTTCCCGTTTTCTTCTGAGAAAACAAAAGGGAAAATAGAGTTGCAAAAATGGCGGACAAGAAGGAGAAGCTTAAAATATTACTCACAATCGCGTCGGTTGCCGCAATCTCAATCTTCATAACAGCTCGGCTAGTCAGACGCCGCCGCCGTTTCAATCAGAGACGACCTCAAATTCCCTGTTATTTACACTCCGAGATAAAGCCACCGCTGAGTTTCAAGCGAGTCTTAGCCGATAACTCCTACTCTCCTTTCAGCCATTTCAACAGCCAACCGGATTCTGTTAACGGTAAATAACCTTCCACTTCTACGTCTTCTTTAAAGATATGTTTTTTTAATGGTTGGTTTACTTTGTAGAGAAATCTCCGAATTTGACTCACCCGTATGAAGCGGAGATAGCATCATTGATGGAGAGTCCGCTGCTTCAGTTTTCTAAGATTCCGATGGATGGCTTTGATGTGAAAATGGATGATTCTTATGTTTGGGTTGAATCCCAATCGCAACTGAGTCAACTAGCCCAAGTGTTGAGTGAACAGTCGGCATTCGCTGTTGATACTGAGCAGCATAGCCTACGGTCGTTTCTAGGCTTCACTGCTCTAATACAGGTCAAACACTATTAACATTTTTTAATTAAAAAAACCTTTGATTTTTATTGAACTTTTCATATTTTACGGTACAAAGAACAGATTTCTACAGAGAAGGAAGACTATTTGGTGGATACAATTGCCTTACATGATTCAATGGGAATTCTTCGTCATGTTTTCGCCGATCCTAATATTTGCAAGGTATAAATTTTACTTTGAAGTTTAGGACTTCATCCAAAGTTGAAGCCAAAATGTTGCATTTGGATGCTGAGCCAGAGCATATGATGATTGTGAAGAACTGATACATTAAAATGTGACCTCTTATCATGGAACGATTATGTATGGAACAATAACGTTAAAAAGAACTTCATATTCCACTTGGAGCCCACGGTTTTTATTTTTGTAATTCTCTTATTCGTCGTAGAAGATGAGAAGCATTGGCCAAACTGTTTCTTTTTTTCCCTTAATGCAATGTTCATGCCACTCCCCCCCCCCCATCTTTTGCATGGAAAGTAAACTATTGATGTTTTCAGTCTTGTGAATTTACTGATCAATGCCATTTGATTCAACTTATAGTGCAATCCTGATCATGTGTTGGATTGCTTGGGATTGTGATGCAGGTGTTCCATGGGGCTGATGGTGATATTGTGTGGTTACAAAGAGACTTCCACATATATGTTGTCAATCTATTTGATACTGCTAAGGTGAGCTTCAATAATTTGTTTCTCACGAATATGTAAGAATTTCTCCTAGGTTAAATGTTAATGACTCAGAACTACTTGCATGCATATTTCTGATATGTTGCTTTATAACAAATGACTAACTTGAATCAATTTTCTGCTCGGATCACATTTCTTTTATGCTGACACAGGCATGTGAAGTTTTATCAAAGCCCCAGAAATCATTGGCCTACTTGCTTGAAACTTATTGTGGTGTGGCCAAAAATAAATTATTACAGGTATTAACTCTTGCTTAAGTGCTTTACACATGCTTGTTGTTCATCCCACTTAACTTCTCTATCTAGAACATTGATCATAACCTATTTATTCTGATGTTGCATTGCATTACAGCGTGAGGACTGGAGACAACGTCCGCTTTCAGATGAAATGGTGCAATATGCTCGCACCGATGCACATTATCTACTGTATATTGCAAATTGTTTATTTGCTGAGCTCAAACAACATGACTGTGGTATGCTTGCCACCCAAAGCCTGTTTTGATATTTATTTCTCTATCTTGTTTGTCTTGAAATGGATTGGAAGTTTGGGACAACGAATCATAGTATGAAAGTTCTACATAAATTTTTAATGATCAAGATTAAATGACTATCCCCAAGATTCAAAGTATTATTAATCTATGTTTCTAAATATAGGCATTCAAAATCGGTGAGTGCTGGTCTTTAATAATTATAGTCTTCTTCTGTCCGGTTGGGAAGGGTGTTTAATAATGATAGTCTTTTGGGCAAAAAGTGGCTTCTGGCATAAAGAATGATGTTAATTATGGAAGAGTGTGTATAATATTTCACATGGTATCTGTGCTTAGCCTTACCAGAAGAACTATATCTAGTACCTCTTGTAGCATCCACATGCTAATATATTAATGTATCAGAATATTCATCCTTCACCGATGACAAGTTCAATTTTGTTCTCGAGGCTAGCCGACGATCAAATTTGATCTGTTTACAACTCTATGCTAAAGAGATCGATGGTTTTCCCGGGCAATCTGCCGCATTTTCAATACTTTCTCGCCAATTGAATGGTCAGGGAGCTGCACCTATGCCTGGTGAAACAAAGGTTTGTTTCTCTCCACACTACTTGCTACAAACACTGGAATCAATAATGGATTGAGTATTCTTCCGATATGTTGTACTTGATTTTACATCATAGTCTAATGTTTTGTTATTAATTCCAGTTTCAGGATCTTGTTAGGAGATTGTGTGCATGGAGAGATTTAATGGTAAGTGTTAAGTTTACTTTAAACTACCAATTTAAGATTGCTTAAATACTCAATAAGAATGGATGCAGCATTCTTCTTATTTATTAGAGAAACTCTGAGCAACATTTTTTCTGGTCCTCTGTTAAACTTCTTTGAAAAAATGGTGTGATCAGTAAATGTTGTAATAGATATCTGCCGGAGCAATTTTTGTTGTTGGTATATGCAAGCAAATGATTTTTCCATCATTTTAAGCTTTGTCACTTATGAACCTCTCGTTTTCTAAGCAGAAGACTTATGGTTCGTTTATTCTTTTGTTCGGTTGGTTCTCCTGAATATAGTAGTTATTGATTGATGCTTTACATGTGGTGCTACTTCTTTTCAGGCTCGTGTGCATGATGAGAGCACAAGATACATATTATCTGATTATGCTATTGTCGCTCTCTCTGAAAAAGTCCCTACAACTCAAGCAGATATATATGGCACCATAATTCAAGCTGATTTGAATATTGATTCTTCAAATCTCAGTTCTTCAGTGCCATCTCCTTCGCCTCTTGTTTGCAGCCATTGGATAGATGTCCATCAACTAATCCAGGATAAGTTAGGCAATCTTGAAAAGTTTTTTCCGGTGGTTATTCAAAACTGCCTGGGTCCAAATGGGAGCTGTCCATTGTCTGTTTTTAACTATGCATTATTGATGAACTCTAGCCTCAAACTAGACACTAAATCAGTGTCCAAACAGAATGGGTTCAAAAACCCAAGACAAGTTTCTAAGAAAGCTTCTCGTCAACTATTCATTCAAAAATTTTCATGCAAATCTCCGGTTTACCATAATTGTAGGATCTATGCTAATGATGGTCGGCTATTATGTTATTGTGATGGCAGGAAGCTGGAATGGTTGGTGCTTCCTTTTCTGTACCTTATTTTTATTTGACCACAAAAGTTATGTTCTATTTGACAAGTTAATGTTCTTATCTTACAGGTATCTTCGTAGAGATCTAGCAAAACTTGTTGATGACGACCCTCCTGCTATAATACTTCTTTTCGAACCAAAAGGCCGTCCAGAGGATGAAGATAATGATTTTTATATCCAAAGTAAGAAAAATATATGTGTAGGCTGTGGTGAAGGCAATCACTACTTACGCTACCGAGTAATTCCCTCGTGCTACAGAATTCACTTTCCTGAGCACCTGAAGAGCCATCGCTCTCATGACATAGTCCTGCTTTGCGTTGACTGTCATGAAGTTGCCCATGCTGCTGCTGAGAAGTACAAGAGACGAATTGCTAGAGAATTCAGAATTCCACTTTATGTCCGTAAAGTGGTTGATTCAAACCAAGCGCCTATTATATCTGGGTCATCTGAGTTGACAGACTTCAAAGATTCAGGTGTCTCACCACTACAATTGCGAACAGCTGCCAAGGCTCTTTTGCGTCATGGACCTGAAATGCCTCCCAGCCGCCATGATGAACTGACCCAGGTCTGAAAGCTTATCTTCTGATACTTGTTTTTTGATAAAAATCTAACGAGCTTTATCTTTTTATGAATTGCAATGAAAGGGGCCTGAAATCCTATAGCAAAATGGTTAGTTATGTACTAGTGTTAACCTATACTTGATGGGAACATCATGATAACTTTGGAATTAGAATTTATTGTGGAACTGGTTATTAAAACATTAAACATAATATTGGTAAGAACAGCCATTCTTGACAACAAAAGTCACGCCAAAGTAATTGAACTAGACATTCAGATGCCTAATTTCTACTTTTTGATTTATCTACAACATGTTAAGTTAGAAGAACCAAATTCCCTGTTCATTTTGCATCTTCCCCTGCTAGTTCTTGTATCAACTCTTCTTGGATAAAAGGAAAACAAAACTAGAAATTTGTATTAGTTATTCAGCCACGCATGTAATGTGATACGATTCCACTACCCGGCAAAGTCTCAGCTACTTGTCCTACCTAATTCTCATTATCTACATAATGCTAAAGAGGAGTTGCAACTTGCAAGTCTAAACTTAACTGCCTCCATGTTTCCACAACTTCAGTTTTGCCATGTTTCCATTATTTTATAGGTATTTAGCTTTGTTACCAGCAAATAATAGTATAGGTTGTTTATTTTTAATATCCTATGAGTTGTTTTAAGTTTTAGGCATGATTCTATCAATCACTTTGGATTTTCTAGATTATTGGTTGTAATAGTGTCAAGATTCTCACTGCTACATCTAATAAAATTATTGTTCTGTTCTTCATAATTTTCCTTCCTAAAAAATCTGCTTCTATCATAATGTTTGTCACTTTGGCTAATTCTTTCTTTCCCCTTTTCTGCTTGTTAAAACTTCGTCTATCCCCATCAGCATAATATTTATCATCGGTCACAAACAGGTGTTGGGCTTTGCTGTATATTTCACAGGAGTCTTTAAACAAATAAATCTGTTTTTCCTTCTTCTTGCTGCTTTTGCAGATTGTTATGAGATATTATGGGGGAAGGGAGATCTCCAAAGAAGATTTAGAAAGAGCCTTGGTAGTGGGCATGAGTCCTCATGAGCGAAGAAGACTAGAGAAGAAGAAAGGCGTATCTTTAAAACAGTCTACAACAATCCCTCCGGTTAAAGAACAAGAAATTAATGATGCGACAAGGATCTTATCTACAACATCAGATCCATCAAAAGTTGACAGTCTTGGTGCTTCAGATTTTACGGCAGATGTTTATCATTCAACAAAAGTTGATACATTGAAAGAAGCATCAGAGACAAAGGATGACATTGAAAGAAGCATTACAGACAATCCTTCTACATGTTCTGATTCTGGAGTGACAACAGCTTGCAATGATATGGATCTGCATAGCAGTCAAATCTCCGAGACTAAAAGTGTGTGTGAAGTCGATACTGATTACTCTGAGAGCAGCACTCCAAATGAAATAGCCGACTCATCCTGTACCAGATACGAAGGAAACACATCCGTTAGGCATAATAAAAAATTATCTCTACTAGGACATGGACCCCACGGGAAACAAGTTGTTGATCATATATTAAATGAATGTGGAGAGGAAGGTATTGGTCAATTTTGTCAGCGATGGAGGCAAGTCTTTGTTGAAGCTGTTAATCCTCGTTTCTTACCTGGTGGTTGGGATGTGATGCACAGGTATGCGTCTGTACTATATTTGTTTGTAATTGTTTTAGCTTCCATTGTTATAGAAAGTCTATGGGAAAGAGTGTTATGTAGAAAACTTTGGAGATTGTGGGAAGACTGAGGACACGGTAAGTGAGAAACCAAATCTATTGAGAATTTTGATTGATCTAGAGGGAATTTGAGAAGGGGGGAAGTGTTATGAAAAAATAATGATGACTATGTGAGAAATACAGGAAGTTAGGAACATTGTAGACTACAGCTTTAACTCCTCGATAAGTGTAAGGTTGAGAAGGGAGAAATAATGCAGTATCGAGACTGAGGTTTATGCCTTCTTGACTCGTGAGCTGACGGTTTTAAAATGAAAGAAGCACTTAGTTTATTGCCTTTGCATTTAGATTAATACTCGATACCCTCAAATATGGGTGTGTTCTTTCTGGTTCAATCTTATTCCAATTATGATTTCATTAGATGAGAGCTTGATCAGTATTAATATTCAAAAACCATGATATAGTCAGTAGTAACCATGCTATAGTAAGGAGCCACTGTAATGATTATTTTTGCATGAATTCTCTCCTCTTTTAGATGTCTACCCCTAATTCAGATTAAACTCTAAGAGTATCTGTTCTAGCCTCACTCTGTGTAGCATGCAAACTAACTCCAAGGCCCTTACAAAGTTAATGCTATATCACTGCTGTAGCACACATTTGTAGAACTTCAGAACAAGCCTTCTAGTACCTAGACTTTCCAAATCAGAAAAAGAGCCTGCTAATCGGTTCTTAACCTTAAAGACTAGGCTTCCATATGATAAATGTTAGTTAAGTTCCAACTAATGATTCATTTCATTGTGTGTTGGTTTCTTTTCTTTGTCCAATGGTTTAACTTTGGAGGCTTTTTTTTGCCAGTGGGAGACGAGAATTTGGGGAGTTCAGCGTGTACAATCCTGCCAAGAAAGGCACTGATGGCAGTTAATATTTTTCCCATCCAGATGATGGAAATATTAACTCAAAAAGACATTGCAATTTCAACTATTGGCATTGCATGTCAATGGCTGGCTCATTGCAGTTACAACCCTTTTGTATTGGTGAGATTGCTCAAGAACCTTTTAAGTTAAGATGATCCCTTGATATTGCATCCTGTTTGCTTGGATGCCCCCATTTTTGAGATTTGGACTGCTTATTTCTACCCTAAACTAAAATATAATAGATATATAGATGTTCTTCAGGTTGCAGCCTTAACTGAGCTTCGTGCATCTGTCTAGTAGGTTTTGTTGTTGTTTAAACTTAGACAATCCATGTATGAATGTTGTGTTAATAGTATATACACGGGTCAGAATAATGCAATCGAAGATTATAAGCGATGAGCAAATGAACAATTAATGCCCAATTTAGCATTGACACAGTTCTGTTCAACTTTTGAGTTGAAATTGTGATTTGATTGAAACTATTATTACTTTCATTTTGTTTTCTTTGTTCAATTAAACAAAACAAGAGTGGCCAAATCTACAATCTAGGGCAAACTAAAGAGGCAAAAACAGCTCAAATTCACAGATTGAACTAGTTTCATTCACTACTTAAAAGATCCACACTCCGATCAGGCAAATCCAATGCCGGCGCTGTTGAATTAAGAAACACCATTCCTTTGGAGGCAAATTGCTTCTTCCTTCGAAGACATCTAGGCCCGTAGGCCCTCCTCGTCGCCAATAAACAAGGAAAGCTGTCGACGGCAACAGAGAATGGTTGATCGCCGTTAGACGTAGGAGAGGACAGCGAGATCTGAAAGATGGAACTTGTTCGGTGCGATCTACCGCTGATTCGTGAGTCCCCGAGACGAGCAAGGGCGCCGGGTTTGAGATACTTTAGGAAAGGCTCGGATCGAGTCGAGGGATGCCTGGAAAAGGATCGGCACTGGAGATCCATCGTCGGCGGCGGAAGATTAAACGACAAGGAAAACGCCGCGTTTGTTTTTCTTCTATCTTGGTTGAGTGGGAGATAGGGTTTGCCCTTTTGGGGATACAGTCATTAGGGTGGATTTTTTTTAGGAGTGAGAGAAAGCGGGAAAATAAGGGAGGGAATGTGGAGCTTTGAAAGTGAGGGCAGAAGCGCAGAAATATGCGGTGTAGGGCTCGAGCCTGTTTCCCATATTTACGGATATTTAATTACATTTTTTAATAAATATTAATTTAGATATTTAAATATAGGTAAACTATAAAAATAATCACTTTTGAGTAATTTTTTTCTCTATTGATATTTCAAAACTAATAATTTGATCACAATCGTTATCAATTGTCTGTTCAATCTGTTTGAATCACCTGTAATGCTAACCATTATCTCCATATACATACACACGCATACATATCAATGCACATGACTATGATGTGTATTATTTTTATGTATCTAATATGGGTTTATTTAAACTCTTGAATCGTTTGTTTGTCTTATATTTGTGTGTAAACACATTCGACGTAACTCGTAAGTATCTGACATGAATACTTTAAGAAAATGTAAAATTTAAATAATAAATATATCTCTTTATTGCACAGGAGAAATGATCTTTACCAAAAATGCAAAGAATCCAAGCAAGAATATGTGGGATGCAATTATATATGTTATTACACAAGTGAGTTCAATTTATGTCACAAACAGCAGTAGGCATTCATGAAAACTTGTCATTTGGAGTGATTCTCGACAAACGAAACATTGTTTGAGATTCTCCTACTTGAAATAAGTTGACTTTAACCTCTGTCGTTTTATAACATGATTGATCATTTATGATGATTAGTTTATTCATGACTCTCAACTTTCTAATGGCTCAACTCCCCATGGTCCATCATTTCATATTACACCGCCACATACGTTTAAATACCAATAAAAGCAACCATTCCCCCTATCTTGTTTAATATCCTCGTAAAATGGTGACTTGTGGTTCATGGTCACACTTATTTTCCATAAACGATCTTCCTTTTTCTTGGAGGGAGAGTCTAAATATTGTGCTCGTGTGGCAAGATTGTGGTAGACTGGTTTTCTGCTTTAGTTCTTTAATTGTACGAGTATCAGGCTAGGAAATAATCAAGAGTCCAATTTCCGGTAGCAGTAAAAAAATCGTATTTGTGAGATAATATTGGGGCTTGGTGGAATTAATTAAAGACAAGAGGCACATTTCAACTTCATGGAGAAAGGTAAATTCGGGATGATTGAAATTAGTCTGTTTAGGATTGCTTTGTTTCTTTAGTAATGAGTGGTTCTGACCTGAAACGCTGTTTTTTAAATTTTTTATTTCACATTACCTTTAAACCAGGTCGGAATTTCTCATGGTTAATTATGTGTCATGCTATATTCAACAAGACTCTGACCTGTGCATGCTGTGTATTTATGTTTTTGCAATAGCTTCCTTCTTCTTCTTACTTTACATAGTTTCTTCTGCTGGAATATGCCAACAAGCTACCCTGAAGCTGGCCTCTATCTTTCTTGAGTTGATCGGATGAGAGCTAAATCATGAAAAGACTTCTTAGATAAGTTAGAAGATAACGCTTCCTTCACTAGAACAGTGTCTAGGATGCAAATGGCACTTTTTGTAGCTTTTAGTAGCAAATTTGAACCTACAGTGTAGTGTTTTTTTTCTTTTCATCCTAACATGTTCGGTCGTTCTGTCAGCCTTGTTGGAAAGTGTTGCATACTCGATTTTCTTCAGAAGTAGGACTTTTGATGAGGGTACTGATTTCAGATTGCAATGTGGCTGGTATTATGGTACAAGTATATCCCAGTTTTGGTCATTGTATCGAAGATATTTTTTGCGGGCAAGTATTTTTGTATTTTTAGACGATTTAATGGTTAACACCATAGAGTAATTTAGTATGCTCTGCAAATCTATCATGGATAATCACTTGGTAATTTGGAGTTCTCGATAGGTAGCAAACACATGGTATTTTGTTTCAATGATGAATGGACGTTTTTTTTATCCTGATTTATGTAAATGGGCAGGTGTGTCATTGTTTGCAGCCCTTGGGTTTTTACTACTTGATGGAAGGTAATATTGCCATATATTGTATATTGGTGAACATTTATGCTAATCATTGACAATTCAGTTGGCAATTTTGTTTCGGAACTATTATTATTTAATTAATAAATAAGTTCTTTGTTATTTGGTACTTTTTAGAGAAAATTATTGTTGACCTTCTTTGTTTTATTCAATGTCATGTATATCCTAATTACTGTTTCTCCCATTCATTCCTTAAGAAAACTGCGTAACCATATCATAAATATACTCTGTGTTTAGCTGAGCATGGAAAAGATATACACACACATATATGTAACTTGTTCAATCCTCGCAGGCTTTTCTTAATTTTGCAGCAGTTCCCAGTAGAGTCCCAAGGGCAGCTTAATAAGCCGCAAGAAGTACATGTCTATTTTGATAGTAGATTTGGTTTTTGAGCCCAACAATTTGGCCTTTCTATTTACAGCCTTTTATTGTTTTTTCTTTATTTACTTGGGCAGGTTGGTTATGTGACCATCATATGTGTCTCATGGTTCCTAGTCAGATGCATTATGGTAGATTACTTCTTTTCTTCTGGCTTTACTAACACTACACATTTCAAATTGACAAAAGAAGTATGTTCTGTAGACCTTTGTGAAAATTCTAGATGTGTATAATGTTATAGCACTTCTGTTTCAAAATGGAAGTATCTGAGTTGAACCATTTAGCTGCTAGTTACTGGTTTAAATTATGACCTTTTGATCAATGAATGGTGATAAGGTAATGTGCATCTTACTGAGTTTCATATCTTGGACTTGCCAATTTATGATGTTACTTATCCAAAGCTTTTTCTAATTTAAGATATATTGTTATTATTGGTTTTAGATGTGCTTTTCTGCATTTGACAAAGCAGCTGATCTTGATGTTCTGAACCATCCAGTTCTAAATTTCATTTATTACCTGGTATGTCTAATGAATATCCTGGATCATGTTGGTAATTTTCTCGTGATTGAAACCGTCATATTGAAATACAGTGTGGAGGTTGCTTGATCCTTCTTATTGCCTTACGAAAGCTGAAAAGATTTCCATTCTGTCTTCCTTGTTAGTTCGCTGCTGACTTTAATGCACGTTTCAAGAAACTTGGTAAGCAACTTACAAAGCTTTACGCGGAAGAATTTTTTAGATGCAGTAGAGTTGCGACTATATGCATGCTGAGTAAAATTTATGACTTTCGGGAGAGCAGATTGAGGCTTGGGAGTTGTTTTAACATCATATATTTTAACAACAAAATGTTGCATACAATTGGCCAGTTAGATCACCCTCGACCGACTTTTATTTTAACTATTGTAGTCTCCTAATTCAATAATCAGATCTTGCATCAACTCTTTTATTCTTTCCTTCTCCTTCAATTTATTCTCTTAGATTATAATAATTTGCAAACCACCCCTGGAACTTTAGGTTTGATAGTGTTATGAATGAGCACAGTTGATGATATTGTCTTCATGTCATAATTTTTTCCCAGCATCTCCTCTTATTTTAATCGCTTATGCTTATATATAGTCATTTTGGTGAGTAAGCTAGAGGATAATTCTAGGTATCTCTGTTGAACATATATACGAAAACAGCAAAATCTTTAACGTGCATTTGGAGCTCTAGCCTCTGGGTTGAGCATTTTCGTGTTTTCTGATGGGAAGTATTTTAATGTTGATCCGGGCTGTAAACGAGCCGAGTCGAGCTCGAGTATTGCTGAGCTCGACTCGAACTCGAAAAGTTTAAAATTAGGCTCAACTCGCGAGCTAAAAATTATCAAGCTCTATTGAAGCTCGAGACTCGAACTCAAAATATAATATTGAAACTCGACTTGAACTCGAAAAGACTCGAACTCAAAAAATATTCAGGAGCTCTACTGAAGCTCGAGACTCGAGCTCGAACTTAAACTTTAATTTAAACCTACAAAAATCTTATATTACATTTAAAAATATATTTTTTAAAATTTTATAATTATCAATAATGTATTTTTAATATATTTTTAATAATGTAATTTTAAAAAATCTAAAATTATAATATAACATTTTTTTCGAGTCGAGTATTAAGTAGCTCGTTTTAGCTCGTTTTAGCTCGATAAGAATTCGAGTAGAGTTCATTTGATTCGAGTGTTGATCGAGCTTTGACCGAATTGATCTCGAGTAACTCACGATCTGTCTCATGTCATTTACAGCCCTAATGTTGATGACCAAGCTGGTATTCAACCATTCTCAGATACTTTTATTTTATTTTTAATTGTTTTTCTTGTGCAGTTGGTGGAGGTATTACCTTCAACTCTGGTCCTTTTCATTTTGCGGAATTTGCCACCAAGACGAGGGTATAACCCAGTATCATCCCATTCACTGATCTACACAGGCCGACAGCAACACATTCCGAAAATAAAAGAGAGAGAAGAACGCTAGAACCAATCGTAGTAAATTAGTAATGATTTTTGGCATGGCTTCTGTACCCTGCAAAGAAAGCAGACAAAGCCAACTAGGTACGTGAATTCTGCACTTTTTAATCTGTAGAAATTCTGATGATAAATTGATGCCATTCTACAAGAGCCTGCATGTATGCATTTAAAGATCTTGAGGAGTAAATACATAGATGAACCTGAAGCATGCGTAAATATGAGACACACCGGACTTGATTGCATAAACTTGAATTATAGGTTTTCTTTGTTTTTCCCCCAAAAAGTAGGAAGTTTGATGTGAGTTGATGCTTTATATTGCTGCACCAATATTATATAAAGTTGAGAGATGGAAGATGAAATTCATTTTCACTGTTAAAAGAAATGGATTGAGGTTTCAGTTAAGATTTATTTACTTTGAACAACAATACATACAAAAGCCAACTTTGTGAAGTTTTTGACTTGATAGAACAAAAACCTACCACTCTAAGCCTCTTTGAACCTAACTCTATTTTGCTTAGTCAGTTAAATATTCATGAAAACATAAGAGGTCAAATTTTGATATTGGTCCTTGTAATCCTTGTACTCAGTGGCACAGCAGCATAGAAAAAAATTGGAAATTTTTTTGTATGCCCCTTTTTTTTTTCACGAGTTACATATTTTAGTTTAGTCGACCTGAGATTGAAATTTATTGTATGCCCCTTGTTAATAATGCAGGAATGGACCAGGTGAATTATCGGTGGAACCATCTGTTTGGTATTCTCCTATGGAAGCTTTGGAAGAACCGAAACAGTTTCGTTTTTAACGGCAAAATCTGGTCGGCGGTGGAGACCATTCACTCGGCAATGGCTTGGGCCAGCATCATCAAAGATAACCAGCAGAATCGCTCACCTGGGATGACTAATAGGAGCAGAGATAGACGATGGAAGCCCCCGGAAGAAAGTTATTATAAACTTAATACGGATGGAGCCGTTACCCTTCGACGAAGATCGCTTCCGTTGGAGGAGAGATCCGGGACAGCACTGGAAACTGGATAACCTGATATACCAGGAATATTGGCATATTTCCAATCCTCCAGGCTGAGCTCTGGGCTGTTCTTGATGGCCTCCATGTTGCATGGAATTACGGCATTAAACACCTGGTGATTGAGCTGGACAATATGGAAGCAGCTGGTATCTTGAATTCCATTCCGCGGGGTCTAGAGGCAACAGTGATTAGAAGAATTCGTCCTCTTCTTCAACGTCCATGGAACATTAGGATTCGACACATCCCTCGCCATGCCAATGAGCTTGCTGACGCCATTGCTCATTTAAGTCGAAAAGCAAATCTGGGGTTTTCAGTTTAATTTTAAAATTTTTAATTTTTTTTGGGAGAAAATCTAACTCATAAATTGATATAAAAAACGAGGGATAAAACTCTAGTTTTGTTGAAGAAAATGATGAAAAAAAAATAGTTTTATAATCTTTTATGTTAGGTTGATGTTAATATTAAATTATCACGTTATTCGGCTTTAATAAATTAACTATTTAATAATATAATTGTATGTAAAATTAAATTTAGTGTTATAATTGTATAAATTATAATTGAATGACAAATTCCCCGACCCTACAGCTAGATTTCCGGCGACGTAATCGGGATTCTGGAGCTGTCGTAAAATGACCGTCCTCCCAAAACAATATTTTCAAATAAAAAATTAAGTACATATTTCCCCAATCTTGAAATCAACGTGACAGCTTGCTCAGACCACACCAGACATGATCGAGTCTCCCGTTCGCCTTAACGTGAACTCAACTACTTCAATCACCCTTTTCACCACGTGTTTTCATGTAAGCCCCTCTCCAGGTGAGCCCAATAAGCCATAAATATTACTACAATTTCTCACTTTTCTGTTTTGGGGTCAAATAATTTATTTGGTCCTCCTACTACAATAAAATTTAAATCTAGTTTGATATTATTTAATCTTATATTTTATGATAATTATTAGTTAGGTTAAATAGATAATATCATTAATTAATTCGGCTGAAATGCAGATTAGGAATTTGATGGTACTCTATATCCTTAGTTTGATATGATTTTTCAGATGGGACAGGGTAGAACGGGACTATATTTTAGCCATCTCGATTTTAATTTTAAAATAAAAATTTTCATTCATTCAATTTCGATCTTGACATATTTCAGCTCAACACAAATATTTTTTTAGTTATTAAAATAGGAAGATAATTAATATATTTATAAAGATACCGTAATAATTATATTTAACTATATAAAGGAAATTACTGTAATAATTCATGCAACTAAGGGTAGGTGCACGGTGTTTAATTGAACACGTAAATGGAAGTGTCATATGGTCACTACCTAACAAAAATTACTCAGCTGCTATATGGTTTCACTTCCCATGTTCCTTGCCACTATTATTGCTTGCATGATATTACATTAACCAAATATGATTATATTAGAGGGATCAAAATAAAAATTTGACCTATTTTTATAATTAAATTAAAATTAAAAAAAAAATCAGTATCAAAACGTATTTCTAACTAAACTGGCTTAATCCAGAATAATAGACCAGTTAACAATCCGACCAAAATCTCTTGAAAGAAAGAAAAGAAATTACTGCTTACCCTTCGCTTTCAATTCCTTCACCCATCTCCTGAGAACGCTTCAAGAACACTGTCTCTCTCTCTCTCTCGAATTATTATTACACATTCAATACAGGTAGATCTAATTCTGTATCATTCAACTTGCTTGAGCTCTATTCGGTGTTTTCTCTTTGTCTAAATCCTCAGCTTTTGGCTTTTGATTTTCACTCAAAGAGTGTAGTGTTTTTCACTTTTTTGATTTTCAAGTTTGGAGTTATTGATTTGTTGTATTATTCGAAAGAAATGGGGTGCAGTATTGCACGCCATGACGACGTTTGAGCAGCCCAATAGGAAGGGAAGCTAAAAGAGAAAAAGGTTGGGTTTTGCTTTGAGTTTAATTTTTAATTATCACAGTTTCAGGAATATTGTTATTGTTTTTCCCCCCTGCAAGTTCTGAGATGAGCTCACGTGAGAGACTACACTTGCTTTGTCCGTGAGTGTTATCAAGTTGACAAGTTCGAGAAAAGGGCCCTCAGCATTGTGTGAGTAAATAAAGAAGCCTTTCGGCTTTCAACCCCCCCCCCCTCAACTGTTCGTCTCTTTGTTTCAGTCAACAAAAACTTTCTCATGCATGGAAACCCAATGGCTGAAATTTGGTATTTTTAATTTTTGAAGATCAGGGGCTGGAAACAAATGGAACATCTTGTTTCAAGGTACTGCCTTCTTTTCATCATCTTCATATTCAACCTTTCTCTTGTTCCAGTTGTCAAATCAGGGGATGCAGATGCACTTTTAGCTCTAAAATCATCCATTGATCGTTTCAACACCCTACAATGGCAAGGCACCAGTGTTTGTTCATGGCAAGGGGTTAAAGAATGTATGGATGGGAGAGTGACGAAGCTTGTTTTAGAGTACCTAAACTTGACCGGTTCATTAAACGGATCCAGCTTGAACCTGTTGGATCAAATTAGAGTGTTGAGTTTCAAAGGCAACTCGATTTCGGGCCAAATACCTGACCTTTCTGGCTTAGTCAACCTCAAATCACTTTACCTCATCAACAACAACTTCACCGGCAAGTTCCCTGAGTCACTTTCCCGTTTACATCGGTTGAAGATCATAGTTTTGGCTGAGAATCACATCACTGGTGAAATCCCAGTTTCTTTGTTGAAACTCAAACGCTTATACACTCTTTACTTACAAGACAATAACTTCAACGGTTCAATCCCACCATTGAACCAGACAAGCCTCAGGTTCTTCAATGTGTCGAATAATCAACTAGATGGTCAAATCCCGGTGACACCGGCTCTGGTTCGGTTCAACATATCTTCGTTCTCAGGCAATGTCGGTCTTTGTGGGGAACAGGTTGGAAACCCATGTAGGGGAACCAATTCTGGACCAGCCACCAGCCCGGGTTTGGTCATTGTTCCAAGCTCAAACCACAAATTAAACAGGAGAACCAAGCTAATCATCATTGTTGCAGCAAGTGTTGTTGGTGGGGTTTTACTCTTGTGTCTGTTTTGTTTCTTTCTTATACGTTTTGTTAGAAGAAAACAAGGAAATGTTAGGTCAAAGGATGTTAAAAGCAAAGGGGTTGTTACAATAGAGGAGACTGAGGGAGGGGAAGCCTCAGGCGGCCACGGCGGAAGTGGCGATCAAAGTGGGAAACAAGGAGGGTTTTGGGAAAGTGAGGGACTAGGGAGTCTAGTGTTCCTGGGAGCAGGGGATCAACAAATGAGTTATAGTTTAGAAGTTTTGTTGAAAGCATCGGCCGAGACGTTGGGGAGGGGTTCAATGGGGAGTACGTACAAAGCTGTGATGGAATCCGGGTTCATTGTGACCGTCAAAAGGTTGAAAGATGCTAGATACCCGAGATTACAGGAGTTCAAGGGACACATGGAGTTGATCGGACGGCTGAGACACCCCAATTTGGTCCCACTCAGAGCTTATTTCCAAGCCAAAGAAGAACGGCTGATCGTATATGATTATTTCCCTAATGGCAGTCTCTTCTCTCTCATTCATGGTATGTCGGTCACACCCATACTCATTTCTGGTTTTCTTGTGTTGGTTCCTTTTTTTGGTTCAACCACTCTTTCGGATTTAGTTGATTCATTTGATCATTTTTGGTCAAAATCTGGTTTGAATACATTGACTGATTTAGTCCTTAATTATACTCGTTTTTCATTCTGATACAACTATAAACATCATTCTATCCTAGTTCACTTCAAATTACAGCCTCTTTTATATAAATATGATATGCATTGTCTTATGAATAAAACTTAATTTAATTGAATCATTCGGGTATGTATCGGGTTTCTGGTTTAGGATTCATTCGGGTATGTTTCGGTTTCGGGTTTAGGTTTAAGAGTAGCATCAGTAATCTTTTCTCCATATTTTTTTATTAGAAAATAGTCTTTGCTGTCTGATGACTCTCCTCTGATGAATTTTAGGACAAAAATGATATAACCCACCCACTCATAAGCCTTAAACAATGGTACTGCTATTGGGGAGTGGGATAAAGTAACACTTCTAAAGCAACAAGCCTTTTTGTTTAGATTTGATTTTTCTTTGTCACTTTTTCAGTATAAAAAGAAGTTGATAAATATTCGAATATAAATATTAATGTGTTCGATACAAACAAGTTTGTGTTTTGAAATTTCTTAAATATATTTAGAGAGTAGTGGTTTTAAATTTATGTTCAAATATGTATAAAATACGAATATTTAGCATTCAAACAATTAAAAAAAAGGAGTCAAAATGAATATACGAGTTAGGGTTGCAGGGGGTCACGTTGTTGGTCATCATTTAATGGCTAACCACAACATGTGTGGGAGTTTGAGTATTGTGTTTGGTATAATAATTTCTTTGTTTTTGCTGCAAAAAGTTGAGCTGCTATGAATAAAGTTTGCATTTGCATGTTCTTTTTGGACATGATCATTAGAGAAGGGACCTTTGGAAGAGAGATCTCAGCCGTCAAAAAATAAATGGTGGATTAGGTTTTTCTCTTTGACCCACATACACAAAAGGTTAGACAAGAAGTTCCTCTTAGCTGTCATCCTCAGAAAGTGTTAAGTGGTCGATCCGAACTAAAATTGACCCGAATTTGAAACTAACATTAGATATTTAACCTCAAAAGAGCAACGATCTATTAAGTATATAAACATATTTATTTTAAATTTATACTTGTATCCGGGACTGAATTACATAAACTCTTCATTGCAATTAGTTTTAGTAGTACACGTCCTTGTAGGGTTTGTAGCTAGTTGTGTTTCCTGGAAATAAAGCACCCCATGTTTTCTCTTTCATTTTCTTTTGGCCTACAGACACATGTTACAGTCCGTGCATTGTTCCGTGCATAGCTGTAAAATAACAAAATAAATTGATATATACTTTTTTAAATATTATTTTAAACAATGAGAGTTGCATGTTTCAGAGGTGTTTTTAACCCCCTTTTTGGATTACATTACAGGAACAAGAACATCTGGCGGTGGAAAGCCTCTTCATTGGACTTCATGTCTCAAAATTGCAGAGGATTTGGCCACCGGGTTGCTTTATATTCACCAAAATCCAGGCCTAACTCATGGGAATTTGAAATCCTCCAATGTTTTGTTAGGCCCCGACTTTGAATCATGCCTCACGGATTACTATCTCACTTTGCTCCGAGATCCAGATTCACCGGAAGAGCCTGGTGCCACCACATTTTTCTATAAGGCACCCGAATGCCGGGACCTCCAAAAGTCATCGACTCAACCAGCCGATGTTTACAGCTTCGGTGTTCTCCTCCTTGAGCTGCTAACAGGCAAAACTCCATTCCAAGACCTTGTTCAAGAGCACGGCTCAGACATCCCTCAGTGGGTAAGATCAGTTCGTGAAGAAGAGACAGAGTCTGGGGACGAACCTACATCAGGTAACGAAACAGCCGAGGGGAAGCTTCAAGCTCTTTTAAACATTGCAATGGCTTGCATTGCTCATGCACCCGGAAACCGGCCCCCGATGAGGGAAGTTTTAAAGATGATCAGAGACGTAAGAGCTGAGTCACAAGTTTCATCAAACAGTAGCGACCATTCACCCGGACGGTGGTCGGACACCGTTCAGAGCTTGCCTAGAGAGGAACATCTAAGCATATAACAAAGCCTGGGGCATAAGATTTTTGCAGGTATTGAATTCAAAGTGCTCTCCAATTCTTTCCCATTGAAACTTTCATAAATCTTCCAATTATTTTATAATTGTAGAGTGTGTTGTAAAGGTTTCCACATTTCTTATTTTTCTTTTAGCAACTTTTGATGCTGGGAATTGTTTGATTTAATGTATTTTAATATGCAGAGGTTTCTGAAGTATTCATTATCTGAATTGGAATTAACTTGACAAGAAATGCCCATTCAGTGATAAGATCATAAGAAAAAGAAGAAAAGAGTGAGCCGTGGTTGGATTGATGATCAAATAGAATGGAACAGAGATTCGACTCACGATAAAGAGGTTCTAAAAATGGGATCTATACAAATTTTCCAAAATTGTTATATACAAGTTTTTGTCAACACAGGAAGAAAAAGATCCAACCATATTCATATGCATCTACACTAGAAGATTTGTGCCTTCCATTTCAATCTTGACAATTACGGAATTCTCTATCGACTCCTGCTTTGGATGGATCCGCTTGCTGTGCCGAATATCAAAAAATCATAATAACGCAAAGTATGCATCATAAATATATGCTCATTTGCAGGTCATCCACGAATTCCTAATTGTCGAGGATAAAATCTCGTTATTATTTTCTTTGTTGTTGTGTTTTAGTTTGCTTCTGTGTTAGGTCGTTGAGAGCCATACTTGTCTTTAATTTGCCATTATACAATTAACGAATTCTGATTCCCCAAAACTCACAGTAACTCACCTGAATTGCATCAGGCAAGATGCTATTCACTAAATCCTCATCAACAGATACAGGCAATGGCGACATCTGACTCATTAAACCGGGCATAGCTCTCATGCTGCAAAAAGCCACCGTAGAAATTAGTTACCCCAAAGTATAGGCAACACTAAACCCAATAAAGGAGCCAAAAAAGCTTGTCTAGGGCATTGATCACCAACTGATAATTAGAAAGAACATGCACGTACTCCTTTAGGATGGTGGTAATATTGTTTATTGCATAACAGAAGAGATCAACGTTATCCTGTAACTGTTCATAAAAGCTTTACTTAATAGACTAGCGGAGAAGACCATCAACAAGAATCATATATTATACAAGGCAATCACTAATAAGATTCACAAACACATTAAAAAGAACAATAATAGATTCACGCCATGACCTCATCCATAAAAAAACTGGATGCCCACTTAATAATGATAGGCAGTGTGCAATGCTAGAGGCAGAAGAACGTTTTTATTTGTTGTCAAATAGGGTATAAACAAATGAAAATGCACAAGCGTGCAATGGAAGCACAACTAGACATATATGTTGATTGTTGATTTGGTCTATAATCCTAATGATGAACCGAGGGTTGGCTGAAATCGAAATCACAGCCATCTTATTAAATCAGTTTGTAAATGAAGCTAAAGGTTTTGGACAATGATGACGGAACATAAATTTTTGCTTTTCAGAGTTTCAACAGTGGTATGAAATTTTGCCCACTCCCACTCTAATGGCATCAACATTCATCAAATAAAGGAATCATTATCACCTGATTTAACCTCTTGAACTTTATATAAAAAACTAATAACTTGCAGATCAATAAAAATGTGCATAAACAAAAAGACAAGGAGTTCATCTCAGCTAACACCTATTGTTTACCATATAATAGCATATTGACAAAAAAAAAATATTGAGAACTAGGGAATGATACACTCACCTTGTACGAGGAAAGATTGGATTTGATTTCACTAAAAACTTGGGCATTTTGTTTCAAAAGATGCAAAATTGTACCACTTATTCCTGAAAATAAGAAAGGGACTAAACTGCTATAAATTACAAAACACATGCAGGCATGGTTTCAGAAAGCTCAATTCAGAAAAACCATATTTCAATGATGCAATACGTCAAATCTATCGACAGCATGACTTGTGATAACTTCTCAATATCCTTTTTTGTAATTATCTGATATTTCAATACTATAAAGAGAGTATGCGTACAGAAAATTGATGTTACTGTCTAGAAATTTGTGTTTATTAAGGTTCCAAAGAAAGTTTAATACCCTACAAATAAAAAATGGCACGTTTTACCATCAAAGGAGAATCATGCAAGCTTAAAAGAACAAGTCTTACAACCTTTTATTATCCGATAATCATTAAAATTCAAATGCATTTACATTCCCTCTTTTTTTGTACCGAAGTTTGCCATACTCGACATTTGAACAGAAGTGTATATGTAATTTCAATTGTGAATCAACTCTTTTGCTTTATTATTAAATGCACAACATGTTTGGGCTGCTATTATTTTGCTAATGTTCACTCAGTTTCTCTTCAGCTTTGACTGATTCAAGCTGCTAAACATCATCTAGAAAGATAACCCAGAAGTTAGTCTTACATCAACTTGAAATAACTAAAAGAAAAGGAAACATAAATAAATGTTGATAGAAAGATATTAGTGCAAAGAAATTACAGATGAAAAAAAGTTGCTACTTCTCGATGGTAATATAAAATACAAACCTTCAGAAGGCATTCTTTCGATCTGGTCTAGATGGTGCATCATAAAAGGAAATGCAGCCATGTTTAGTGGCAGAGTCGTAGGCATATTCACCTGCAATGATGATCGCACCTGCTTATCCTGAAGAAGTATGATCTTTAGAATTGAGTTCCCCAATCACATTACACCCTAAGGGCATTAGTCAATTCAGGAAATTAAAACAGGATTTCACTTGGCAAATTGAGATACAGTGAATTTAATTATGTCAACTTTTTGGTCACAGTACTGTTTGTAACCTGACTTGAAAGAAAGAATGCAACTGGGAAAAGCTGTAATTTGTTCCAACAAAAAAAAAATATGAAAGCATCACAATCACAGGTGAGAAAAAATAATGCTGTGCTCCCCAATTAGTGAACAAGCTTGGATAGAGATTAATCTATGTATACAATAAGCTTAATGAATGATTTTTATGCTTGGCATAAATGAGTGGTTCGAACAAAGCAACCTTAACTCATTTAGACTCATTATCGCATAACTGAAAATGAGCTTGGAAATTAAAACATGTTTCCATGATCTATCTTATATTCAAGCCTTAAATTTCATGCTCCATTGTCCAGCATACAACTGTTTAGTCTTGCATAATAACATAACATTTTAAAAAGATTCCGTGTGCTGTTGAACATCAATAATTTGCCCTCAAGTAGCATGTCAACACGACTAGGGAAGTAATGGTAATCAGAATACGGACACTAATAATTCAGAAGTTCATCAGCATACCTTCCTATTGTTCACTTTTTTTCCAGCATTAAGTTCTTCCGGTCTCTTTCGCTTTCTCTGCCAATTTCCAAAAAACTGCTTTTACCCCTTAATAAAGATAAACCTACAGATAATTTTAGATATATAAATATATCTTCAAATAAATAAAAAGTATAAAAGAAAATTAAAGGATTGATCGAGTGTTATAGACCACATCTATTTTAGGAAAGCCACAAGTTAATTTTGGTTCTCTATTTAAGGCTTAGGTTGTGATTTTATTTCTTTCCTTAGGTTTCTTGATTATGTTTTTTATTTCAGTTGATTTGTTTTCCTTTTAAGAATATATTTCCTCTTATGTAACGAGACCAGTCTTTATTTAGTGGATCATATGAAATAATAAAACCTAATAATCTTTAAAAAAATTCTAACATGATCTTGGTCTCTCTTATATCGAGTACTGAGGTTTCAGTCTGTCGTTGGTGAGCTGAACTATGAATATGAAAACGCAGGACCGTAACATTTGGTATTCAGAGAAACAATCCTCGCTTAGACTCTCAATACAATGATGTTGACAGAGGAAGCTATTCAAGAAGCACTCTGGCGCATTGACAGCATGTTTGATTGATGGTGCACTGAATGGATAGATGAATTTTGTACAAAGAGAATAAATCTAGATAATAAGAATATGAAGACAAACTAGGTGTTTGATGAAATATCAACAAAAGAGGTAGACCCTTTATCTAAACAAAACCAACCCAAGGCAGCCCCTACCAATGTATTTTCTTTGTCCTATATATCAGGCCCTTCTAAACATGTCTAGACAAGAATCCAAACAATCACAACCAACTTCACTTCCTTGTCTTATTCATCAACCCTTCCCAAACTCATAACTGACAACTTATCATTTTCTTTATACCCGATCCAAAAAACCTTCGAAGAGATTTATTCAATGGTGCTACTGAATGAGAATATGTTTGTGGAGGAATATGATCCTTATTGATTCTGGCTATTAGTAATGGATGGGATCTTTTCTTGAGTTCATCCCAGCCACAAGCTTCTTAACAAGCTCTTTCTCCAGCAGGGGGTAATGTCATGCACCATGTCTGCTTTAGGAAAGGCCATTAGTTAATTTTGATTCTCTATTTAAGGCTTAGGCTGTGGTTTTATTTCTTTCCTGAGGCTTCTTAATTATGTTTTTATTTCAGTTGATTTATTTTCCTTTTAATAATATATTTTATCTTATGTAATGAGATTGGTCCTTATTCAACGGTACACATGAAATAATAAAACCTAAATCGGAATTTTTTTATAAAAAACCCCAAACAAAGATTTAGGTCTCTCTTTTAACGAGTCCAAGGTTTCAGTCTCCATTTGATGAGCTAAACTATGGATCCAAAAATTCAAGTTCGTAACATTGGCTATCAACTGCTCCAAGCAATGTCAATGGTAACCCTTGTTTCTTGACGACATAATCTATACCCAGCCAATCAAAACCGCAATGTAACTATTGGCAGCTAGCAGCATTTTCAAAATGGGAGGAAGCAACAAAAGAATAACTTCTTGTTATTTTTTAAAAAGGGGGAAAGAGCAATATATTAATTATAAACTCTCACTTAATAATAATAAACCACTTTGGCCTAATTAGGATTCGATCAAAACAAAATAAAGGTATTTGGGTTATGCAGATACATTTAGCATATCAGAACTAATAATTTTTTAACACCAACTTTTCATACACGAGCAAAGAGTGAGGCATAGACCATGTTATACAAGACATTAAAAATCAGTAAAAATGATTGTAGAAATTCATCATTAAAAAAAGCATGTAGCTTACTTGCATCCACCAGCACCTCAATGCAACATCACGTACGGCTTTATCAGGCAAGATAGCCGCAATCTTTACGTACTTCATAAAATTTGGTTCCTCTTTATATCTATATACATATACATTAAAATGAAAAAATCAACAAGTATTTATTAATAATACCATATCCAGCACCCAGGTCCAACAAGTATCTGGACCTACAAATATGTAGAAAACTATGAAAAAAAATTGAAATACCCATGTCAAACAAATACCCATATCTGACAATTACACCCAATTCATAGCAATATAGCTAATATGTACCTTCTTAAAAACAGTTCTATAGAAAAAGCATGAGCAAAAACACACAGCAATCCAAGAAACATAATTAGATAATCTATTACTTAAATATGAAGAATTCCGCCATATTACTTGTACTCGCAGTGCAAACTATAAGACATTCATACACAGTGAGAAACCGGATACATCACCAAAAAGGCTTTGAATAAGAAGCAGGACGAATTAATTATAACATACTTTTCAAGGCCGTCTTCCAATATATGCTGCTCGTCAGCAGACCATTCAATAGCCAACCCTGTACCATGCTTGAACTCTGCAACCGAATCCAGGGAAGAGCCAGAAGGGTTGCCAGGTAGGATCAAAGTAGGGGAGGTGGTACTGGAATTCCCCGGCAAGATAGTTGACGGCGGTACAAGGTAACCACTGAGCGGAATCATCTCGGACCCATTCATAATAGAACCTAAACAATTTCCATGGTGAAACCCCGTGAGCGACTCTGTCGTCATGTTTTTTTCTTTCAGGCTATCTCACCCAGAATCCACTTTCCGTAAAACCCAAAATCAAATGTGAAATAAAAACTAAACTAATTTACTTCGTCCTCGTCATCTTTTCCAGAGACAAATTCCTTCAAAAGCGTATCGAATTTTGTTGTTATCAAAACCCTACAATTGCATACAATGAAAAATAACATAAAGAAAATATAATTCCAAATCGAATAACAATCTCGAAAATTCAAATCCAAAACTGAAACCATCAAAATGAACTGAATAAAGAATCTTGAGCAGAACAACGAAACGAAGAATAAAAGGAGAGGGGAATTTACCTTACCGAGATCAACTTCCCGACGAAGCCTTAAGTGGTTTACTGGTTTTGCCTTTTTTCTCCCGCACTACTACACCACTGCTCTGCTACTACTATTTTTTACCTTTTTCTCAAGGCCTAACAGACTCATTCTTGATCGGGCTGGGTCAAGTCAAGAATCCAATGCTAAAAAGTTTTCAATCTCGGACCCGAGCTTGGCCTGTCGAAATGGTCTGTTTTACTGTCCAAAACATTAAAGATTTAACATTTTTTTTTATCTTTTTTATGTAAATTACACACATAATTATTAAAATTTTAGAATATTTATATTTTAAATATTAAAATCGAGGAAATTTCATTAGCCACTATCAATAAAAAAATAATTTCTTAATCGTTAAATTAATAATGACAATTGGTATGGTACACCGACTAAATCAACATCTCCACATATCATTTTCTAATATAAAAGTTTTATCCAATTTATATATGAACATCTTGAATAATGGACTTCATTATACACACTTGCTTGGATATCAATCTAATAAAGTTCAAACGTCGGATGACAAACTTAAGGCTGTATAAATTGTGTTTTATGAATAGTGATGAATGGTTATATTGGATAATTATGGATGAAAGCTTGACTCGTAATCAGGGTAATGTTAGAGTAACACATTCTTTGACACTTGAAAAGAGTAAAATTTTTCCAGTAAAAAGTTGTAACACCCCCAACCAGTATATCCGACACGGTTCCGAGTCTGTAACACCCACAACCCGTACTCGACCTGGATACGAGTCTGAGGTGTCACATTGACTTCTCAAAACATTTACTTTTACAAAATACCCAAGCTTCAGTTTGATATTTCTAATAAAACCATTTACTTTCTATGATATAAAACAAATGGTTTTACAAAGCTGATCAGAGCGTATCTAATACAAATCTTTTAACTACATGCCAATTAGATTCTATATAACAAAATACATGTTATTCATTTATGTTCTGATCTGACCTTCAGTAAGGAGAAACTAACATGTCTTGCTCCTCTTAGCTTCTCTTCCTGCTTTCTTGAACCTACGTGTGAAACACCCACATGCTAAGTCATAGACTTAGTGAGATATATAAATCCATATGTAAATTATCAAATGGATGTACATATCATGTAATACAACGTCATATTTGTATACATACTTTTTCATGTAACAATTACATACACACATGCATGTCATCATTTATATTTCCTCATACTCTTATATGATTATCCTTTCTATCTCTTATCTCTTATTCATATGATCTCTTATTTTCATATTCTATATCTTATAACATGTTCTTACATCATCATATGAGTCATTGATATTCATTCATATATATATATATTTTAACATATATTCATGTACATCACATAACAAATGCCATAACCCATAACACACATTCTTTCCTGTAACACATACACACATTCACATATATCCTCATATAAAACATGTAACACATTTCTCATTACAACTCACATTTTATTGTTATCCTTTTTGGTTTGCCCATGCACACTACTGAGAACTTAAGGTATGTGAGTACATAGAGGTTGTCCCGAATGACCGCATAGACCCTCGACTATTAGCATGTCAACTATACATATAGCTCTCATAACACATGACATGGGCATTATCTTTTACCTCATTACACATTCACATATTCATATCACATAGTTCTTTCACATAGCTCTATATCACATTTCATATGATCACATAGTCACGTAGTTTACTTTCACGTAGCATTTTTCCATGAAATTCACGTTATTCATCCTTTTCACACATGGTCACATCATATATACGTTTTTTCTCATATGCATATAACATATTATTTCTTATCTTTTAACTTATATTACATATGCATGTAATCTTATGTCTTATTATTTTCATATATATATTATCATATATCTCATGATCACATGACCTATTATCATAAATACATGCATTTACATAGTTCACACATAAAAATGCATTCAACAATTAAACATATGCATTTACTCATATATCATACATCTAACACCATATCACTACATGTTTATGCTTTAGTACGTATATAATATAATATAATATTGGAATTGGACTCATCGCAAGTCTTAATTCCTTAACATAATGTACACTTACTATCATGTACTCACCTTATCACCAATAACACTACCAAGCTCTTTCTCTTTCTTGCGCATCTTACTCTGACGACCTATCCGAACTTTGCTTTCGATCGAATCTTAACTTGATAATCGTTCTGGAACTTGTTCGTGCTCGATATCTATATAATCGTACATTGATACATATCATTATCCAATTGATATATTCTAATCTATCATTTCTTAGACCAAAAGAAATGTCTATTTCAATTTCCCCTTGAAGTGCATCGATACATTCTACAGTGCATCGATGCATTCTTTAACATGGGCATCGATGCACTACCCATGCATCGATACACCAATCACCTTCGATGTTTTCATTTTAAGGGGGTGCATCAATGCACTCCTTATGCATCGATACACATTGAATGTGCATCGATACGCCTTGCCCAGAATTTGCATTTTAAGCCCGAAAACCATAAACTTTTCACTCAATTTTTCTATTTTAAGCCCCTATCATGTCATTAAAATCAATTACCATTACTTAAACCAACTTATATCCATATAAACCATCTTTATCTTTTCATATCTCATCATGATTTTTAAAATTTAAGAATCTTGCTAAACTTTCAACTTTGTTATTAATCCTTTCTAACTTCATATATCTCATATTCTTAGTGATGACAAGTCAAATTCCTTCTCAAATTTCACTTATTAACTCTTTCCCATAAATTCATCTAAAAACTCATTTTCTTTAATCTCTCTTATATCTTTCATCATGTTGTTTTATAACAAATTAAGCTTTCCTTAAGCGTAATTATCATCTAATGATCATAATCCAACCTTAAAATCAATAATTAATCAACAAACAAAGAAACTCACCTTTGAGTCAAGCCTTCACGTATGAAGAAGGAAGAAGAGAAAAGAACTCTGGAACCTTTTCTCTCTTCCCACGTGATTTCCTAATCTTATAAGGAAAATAAAAAAAAATCTTCCTTGTCAAATGACCCTTTTGCCCTTCAATTCATCTAATAATTACTAACAACTTTTATGATTTATTTCCAAATAAATCATTGAACTAATCCATTGTTCTACTCTAGTCACCAAATTCTGAAACTTTATAATTTAATCACTAACCCGGTATTGAGGATGTTACAAATCTCCCATCCTTTAAAGAAAATTCGTCCTCGAATTTTCACTGAACATATCATTAAGAACATATCTTCTAATGTTCTCATGCTACTTCCTTTACTTAATCTTTCCTCCCTTTATTTCTTTAATTGTCTATATCCTTTATATATTTATCTACTATCACTTATCATATACACAGTAACCCATAACCTCAATCCATTTATGTCTTTTATCTCATTCGATTCTGCATTTTCCTTTGACCTTTCTAAAATCCATATAATGTCACTCATTACATAGATAATAACATCCATTTTCATCACTCAACATCATAAATCCATCTCTAAATACCTTATAATAATAACCAAATTCGTTTTTCATCATCATTTAACCAAGAACACGACCTTAAATCTTCTTTAAATACGATTCAACATACATTTTAAAGAATCTTCACATAACCTTGCACACTTTTCTTACTTCTATATCAAAATTATCATCTACACTTCCATATAACCTTTATCGTATCTGATCCTTTAATTCAATCCCTTTTATTTATTTATTCCATTATTCCTTTATTTATTCCTTATACACAAATCATATCTTTCCTTTCTTGTTCACATACTCTTGTCTTATCATCTATACTCATCTTTATGTACCAATCTTCATTGCATCCTCATAACTTTGATAACTCATTTCTTATACAGAACTTCATTCTTTATCATTTCTTATACTTGTATTTTCCTTCCTTAAGGTTTCATGCAAATACTTATCTCTGTTTCTACATCATAGCTATATGATCAGAATACACAACTATATTCAGATTCACATCATAATTGATTGACTCAACTTTATCTTTTCCTCCAATCTTATAACTCTATCACTTTTACTCTGATATCTAGTCAATAACATCTGCTCAATCTAGGGCACAAGCCCTAGTCAACCTGTAGCATCCTCAATATCGGGTTAGTGACCAAATTGAAATATTTCAGAATTTGTTGGTCAAAGTAAAATAGTTGAATAGTTCAATGATTTATTTGGGAATATTTCCAGAAAGTTGTTAGTAATTATTAAAGGAATTAAAGGGCAAAATGGTCATTTGTCATAAAAGATTTTTTTATCTCTTTAAGAAGAAATAAACACGTTGGGGGGAGAGTATCTGGAAAACTCTTATTCTTCTTGCTTTCTTCTTCTCCAACGTGCTGAACAAAGGTGAGTTTCTATTTAGTTGATTATTTGTTGATTTTATGGTTGGGTTTTGATCATTAGGTGATAACTAAGCTTAAGGAAAGCTTAAGTTATCTTAAAATCAAAAGATGAAGAAGTTACAAAAGATTAAAGATAAGGAGTTTTTGAATGAAATCTTGAAATAAAGTTGATAAGTTAAATTTGAAGATAAATTTGACTTGTCATCAATCTAATTAACATGTATAAAGTGTTAGAATTGGATTTGTAACATGTTAAAATTTGGGTGTAATTCTTGAATTATATATGGATAATAGGATTTTGATGTTAAAGAGGTGATTAATGAATAGAAATGAGTTTGAATATGAGTATGTAAGTTAAGAATAAGAAAGCGGATGATATATGAAGTTATTAAGTTGAAAAGAGTGGATTTTCGGGTATAAAAATGAATTATGGGCTATGTGCATCAATGCACATTCAATGTGTACCGATGCATCAAGGGTAAATTTCCAGAAATTGTTCAGTGTGTATCGATGCACCCCTTAAAATGGAAACATCGAATGCAATTGGTGCATCGATGCATAAGGAGTGCATCGATGCATCCCCTTAAAATGAAAACATCGAAGGTAATTTGTGTATCGATGCATGGATA